CGATGTCTAGGAAAACAAAATAAAAGAAAGCAGCTTCTGATTATGTGCATTATGTTTAAATCTGTGCAGTATTCAACTGTTGGTCTTTTTATTATTTTCTTCCCTGATACCTACTGACTTTTACACACACAAACCACACACATAGAAAAATGTGGTTCAGTCTATTGCTTTTTCTCTTGACATACAATTTGCAAAAGCCTTTTTAGGTTTGCCTTAAGAATGAATTAGGAAGAAAGCATGACAGGCGTCCTTCCGAACGATAGAATTAAGGAGCCATATTTCATATTGCCTTTGATCTGGAACATTAACTGTTCCAGCCGCTTGGAGCATTTTATGGCTCAAACTGAGCAGTCACCCTTTTGATTCTTCTTGTCCCACATCCACAGCGACTGATTGACAGCGACAGGTTGGGAAGAAATTTCAGGGCACATTAAGATCTGACACTTGAGGGGAGAGAACTTAGTCCCATCAGTGGCCACATTAAGGGAAGTCGCACCTATTAGAGATGAAAGCTAGGACCATGTTTATAGCTCACCTGAAATACCAAGGGACTTTAGATCCCCCTGTTATTTGTTTTCCTAAATAATGGAAGCTGAACATGACTCTGGTCATACTGAATTTTAGCAAGTGACTTCAGTATTTCAGGTTATCTTGGTTTCGTCCTACTACATAATTTGATTCATCTGGTACCACATTATACCTATAGATTCATCTATTTTAGATTAAATAGATGGTTGGTAAATGTTCCATGATGGGGCCAGGGCTTCTTCCCCAGAAACAGCAGCTCCAAGTACCAAAAAAGGGGCTGGCGGCTGGCGGAGAGTCCAGCCATTGTGTTTCCTTTGCCTTGGTCTATATTAGAGCACATATTGAAACGATAAACACAAGGCACAACATATTTCATCAAGATTGTTGAGTACATAGATTTTCCTCTTTTTTCCCCCTTCCTGAAGGAAGGGGTGGGGAAGGGCAGCTCTGGCCTTGCCCAGCCACTTATGGCCACTGCTGGCCCTTCCAGGAGGACTTCTGAGAAATGCCACTTGACTAAAAAAACCGCTTCAAGATAGTTATAAATATAAGAAGAAAACAGATCTCAAAAAAGTGGGAAAGACTCTTACCGGCCACAGAGCGCTGCAGGTTTCCAGCTCAGTCTAAAACTGTGAGGCAAACTGCAGCAGCTGCTGAACAAAACTTCTAGTTGTTGGTGTTGTGTTTTTTTTAAGAAAGAGAAAGTCTGCAAAACTAATTTCCCACAAATAGGACTCAATTTCCGTTTAAGCAACTACCTCTTGCAAATCTCATACAACCCTTTTTTCCCCCACTGGCAGATGAAAATGACTTGTGTGAGAGAAAGAGGGGGAAAGGGAGAGAGAGAGCGCGCGCTTTCACACGCCCGAGAATTTACAAAAGGGGACTAAATGTTTGGGATTTCACAAGCGCAAACACAGAAGGGGAAAAGGCGGGAAACACATTTTTTTAAAAAAGTCGTTTGCTTATCAGCGGTCAGCTCAACTGTCTCTGCCGTTTGCTGTTTCGAAGCGCCCTCGGAGGCTCTCCTGACACCTGAGACAATACAAACAGCCTCGCCAAAGGGAACAGAACAAACTGTCTCGTGTGTTTGTGTGTAAAATGGGGAAGGGCGGGATGCCTTGTTTTGAAAGCACAAGAACCTGCGACCTCTTTTGCGCGCCCTGTGAATATCTTTGTTTACTACTCAGATGAGAAATCAGCTCTGGGGAGCGGGAGGAGGGGAGAGACTCGGCGCTTTGTCACAAGCTTTGACATAAGGGGTCGTGAGGGGTCTGCCTCCCGAAGCCGTGATTTGTTTCCCAGTCGAACTCGAGCGCCGAAATGGCCATCAGTTCCTCACGTCGATCCTGTCAGGTTAACTCAGCCTCCATGGCACCTTATCATTAAAAAGAGGTTTCCCCGCCCCACTCGCACCTCTAGGTGAGATTCTGGCTATTGTTATTGCTGTTATTATTAACAAGCAACGTCGGGCACGACGGCTCGAATTCTGTCAGGTAGGGGGAAAGCAAGGGAAGCGGCCAATCAGATCGCGCCTCAGGGACGCCGGAGAGGCGCGCGACAACTGCACGCCCCCCTAGCTGGGCAGGCGAGGGAATCCCGTCAGGCGCTTGAGGCGGGAAGGCGCTCGAGCGCCTTTTGCGCCTCGTCGCTCCCGCGCTCTGCCTCACGCGACGCAGCGCCTCGGACTCCAAACGCGCTTCCACCTCGAAGGTTCCCCCCCCCAAGCGTCCCTTTTTCATGTGCACTTCAAGCAAAACTCGCGCCAAACACTCTTTTCTGTTTCCTCCATCCGCGTTTATTTATTCCTCCTCGTATTTATTTCTAGCCCTTCGAAGCAGCCCCAAATCAAGCTGAAGTATTTAAGCGCTCAGATCCTGAAACTTCCCTTCTGCTTAAGGCTCATCTGCCAAAAGTTTCTTCTTTTCTTTGTAAAGAGCTCTAGGGAAAGGCAGTTCCACCTTTGTGAGGTGATCGCCATACTGTTTGGACCTATCTGATGTCAATAGATCTTACCTGGATCCCGTGGGTGGGTTAGCTATTTTAGAGACTGACCTAAATTTACAAGGGGAAAGCGGGGTGGTGTCGAGTATCTGAAGGATTCATATCTTGTCAGTTGGTCCCTAGCCTACACAGTTTGATAGCCAGCGAACTGATTCAGGTGGTCACAGTTATCTCTTAGGATCAGGCAAATCTAAGAATACTTTCGCAGGCGGAGAATTTGCCTCAGAGAAACCTGCTCACAGCTTTGTGCCACTAAATTCGTAATCTCCAGTCACAGAGCTGACGCCCATCAAGATGGTAATCAAGTAATGGGTAACCATAGCATAAAATGAATTCTCCACACCTGCAATTGCTCAATAAAGCAAGCGATCACCAGCTGTTTGCCATATTGAAATGTATTCACTTTGTTGAAATAGGCCTGAGGCTTGGCCCCCACATTGGCCCAAACAGGGAGTCTTTTAGCTTTGTTGAAAATGCCCCAATTGAAGAAGTGAAAGAGGGAGATGACACAAACTTTTTTTAAAAAAAAGTTACATTGGGCTCTCCTGTAAACTTTGATTCTAGTCCATCTGATAAGTTTTCCCTTCACTCAGTCAAAGCATTTCTTGAGAGACATGCAAGTGCAAAAAGCATGCTGATTTGAAGGAAAGTCTTGTTCTCAAGAATCTACTTTTCATATATACAGAATAAGCCCAAGTTATCCACGTCCTGGAGAAACAGTTAAAAGCTCCAGAGTGATACTGGGATGATGCCTCTTCTCAGCGGTAGTTAGAGACAACCCACTTTATTGATATATACACATTCAGGCTCGTAAGGGCTGACAAAAGGATGTAACTCCATTCACTTCCAAATAGAGTGCCCCTATTCAACATTAGCATTACTTCAGATCAAGCTTACATTTTGTGTATCCTTTGTGACAAATGCTGTTTGGCCAAAAGAGTGGGGCAAACAGAGCACAACCTTACTTCATATAAATCCATCCTTGGTACATGTTCTACAGCCATTGTGTGAGCACCCATCTATCGGAGGGGAGGGAGAAGTCTAATATTTAGCCAGGAGGGGAGAACCTCAACATTTGTTTAGCACAGATCACATACCTTATTTCAGTATTCCTTATAACCCCCGGATTATGTTGCTTTCCCCATATTGCAAATTAACTAGTATGAGGATGGGGAACCAGCCAACATATTGCACTAGAGAGATTAATTTTGAAATCCTGTTGAGGGGATGACAGAGACAGAGTTTTATTAGCCAACGAAGCATATAATGGTAGATGTTAACATTGTATGTTCATGTGGCATCCTCCATCCTGTTTTTTTAAGACACAGGATATATATGTGAGGTTGTGTAGCACAAAACTTCCATCCAAGCTCATCATTATAAGAATTTTGTAACATTAAGAATTTGATGCCTGAGTTTGCTTGTTTGCCTCTTCCCTCCTCACCCCCTTTTCCTTTCGCCATGTTTTCTTAGATTCTAAACCCAAAGGCAGATATTGTGTTATTTCTATGGATTTGTCTGCCATTGTTTATTTATTAGATTTATATACCCCCTTTATCCAAAGATCTCAGCTTGGTTCAAAAGATAAGAAAAGCACAAATAAAACCCTTGACAATGTGAAATGGGTACTCTGTAGCGGATAATGCTGCCTGTTGCAGATTTCTAAGTGTCCTCTCAGCAGGGCTAGGATCAGGACCACAGGCCAGCTGGTCAGGCCCCAGCACTGGTCTGCTGAAGTGCCACCAGCTACAGACTCCCCCGTGGGGAACTTTGGGACGCCTTGTGTGGGTGTGAAAGTGGGCGCACATGGGACTGAGGGCGCACTCCTTGTAGGAAGCGCCCCTGCAACTTCCTCCACCGTGTGCCGCCTTCTACTGTTCAAAGGGAGAGCGCAGGCAAATGAGCCAAGGGGGACACCGGCTGCTCTCGGCAGCCTCTTCACACGGCCACTTTATTTCTGGGTTGGCCTGGCAAGGGAGGCTGGCTCGATGGGGAAGTGCAGGTGAGCGGCTGAGAGCGGGCAAGCCAGTGGGGAAGAAGAGGCCGCGTGTCCTGGTCTCCTGTTAAGAAGGAGCAGGCCCAGCAAGGCCGCCCCGGGAGATGCTGCGTCTTGCTGCCCGCCAGCCCCACTCCCAGCAAGCCCTATCCTCTCCCCCAGAGAGAAGATGTGGACCAAAAAAGTCGTGGCAGGCGGCTGCTTGCGCAAAGGCCCAATCCCATTTTGCACTGGGCGGCTGTCCGGAGGGAGATCCTGGCTCTCTCCTCTTGGCTTCCGCATCCTGGCCTGCCAGACTGGGTCCATGGGCGTAGCCAGGATTTATGTTAGCGGGGAGCAGTATTTTTATTGATTTACTAGATATAGGGGTGGAGGCAGTTGGCCCCCTCCTTGCCTACGCCAGTGGCTGGGTCCCACCCTCCCTTCGATGGCTGTGCCCCCCAGATATAGGGAGTAGTAACCTCCTCCTTGTGGCACCTGCTCATCTGCGCTCTCCCTCCGGGCCAAAGGGGCGGAAGGAGGGACCCTGGCCGGAGCAGCTGCCCCATTGGCCCCCTCTGCCTCGGAGGAGCGGCGACGCTGGGCGGAAGCGGGTCCCCCCTGTCCCTGCCCGGGGCTCCCTCTCAGCCGCAGCTCGCCCTGCCTCCCGATCGCGCCTCTGAGGCTGAGCCGGGGTCAGGGCGAGGGGAGCCGCGGGCGGGCGGCCGCTGGGCTGGCTGGCGCGCGGAGGCAGCTCGCATGTGGTCAGTGCCGCCGCGCCGCCGCTAAGCCAGCCCCCGGCTCACGTTACACACTCCTGTATTTATAACCTCGGCGAGCCGCTTCCCCCTCGGAGCACTTGCGCGGGACCACCTCCTTTCTGCCGCCGGCGGACAGCGCGCCGATCGGGAGCATCCGATCGAGGCCCCGCTCGGGCGCACAAGCCCTGGATTATTGGCGAGCGCGCAGCGGCGGCGGCGGCATCTGGTGGCTTGGGGGGTGGCTGGCTGGGAGGAGAGCGCAGCGCCCCGGCGCCTCTTGAACCGCGGGCTTCCCTTGGCAGCGGGGCCGCCTTGCGCGCCGCCATGGATCACACGCTCTTCGGCTGCCTGCGCAGCCCGCACCATGCCCCGGGCCAGGGCTTGCACCCCTTCTCGCAGTCGGCACTCGCCCTGCACGGCCGCTCCGACCACATGTCCTACCCGGAGCTCTCGCCTTCGGCCTCCTCTTGCATCATCGCGGGATACCCCAGCGAGGAGGGCATGTTCGGCAGCCAGCATCACCGGGGGCACCACCATCACCATCACCATCACCACCACCAGGCGCAGCAGCAGCAGCAACACCAGCCATTGCAGACGAACTGGCACATTCCGCAGATGGCTTCGCCGCCGCCGCCGCCGCCTCCCCCTCCGCCGCCCTCCGCCTCGGCCAGGCACAGCCTGTGCCTGCAGCCCGACTCGGGTGGACCGCCGGAGCTGGGCAGTAGCCCCCCGGGACTGTGCTCGAACTCATCCAGCCTGGGGACCAGCACCCCGACGGGGGCGGCGTGCGCTCCGGGAGATTATGGCAGGCAGGCGCTGTCCCCGGTGGAAACCGAGAAGCGCGCGGGCAAGCGGAAAAGCGACAGCTCAGGTAAACGCGCCCCTCGTGTCTTTTCTTGGGTGGGTAGGTGGGTGGGGTCGGGGGTCGAAAAGGGGAAACCCACCCCCAGGTGGATCGGGCTGTTGGCGAAGAAAGTGGCCTCATCTTTGGTGCGCTCCTTTGGTGAGGTTAAGTCACCTTTTGGGGAGACGCGGAGAGCGCTTCGCATCGCCTTCTAGACCTTTCATCGCGGGGAGAGAGATGCAGGGACCATCAGGTGGTGGACCATAAAATCGTTGGCCGGCGGGGCGGGGTGGAGAGACTCGCTTCGGAATCCGGATTAGCGTGTGCATCTCTGACACCAGGGTTTCCATTCAGTCCACCTTTCCCCAGATTTTTGTTTCCCTCCCGTTCAGAGTCGCAGGCTGCTGCGCGCTTTTGGAAGAAGCGCCACGAGCAGTCATGGAGCCCGTTTCTCTTTAGGGCTGCCTAATATATAACTGAACCATGCAAGTTCTATCCCTGGAAGAAGTTTGTAGTTATTCTTTTGGTTGGTTTTATGGATCAAGAGGGTTACACACAAATATGTAAACAGTTTTATGTATAAAATGAGAGTCCTGCCTCTGAAAAGCACATAAACTGATAAATTAGAAGTACATGTTTCAGATGTTTACAGTACTACTTGTGTAATAGATACAATGTAAATTATATCATACACATAGTGCAACTTCTTCAGGTAGAGACTACAAACTGAATAGTATGTATACTATTTAAATACCCGCAATAAATGCTACTTTTTATACCGTACATAGTCTTGTATAAAGAGCATAAAGCATTATTTAGGAAGAAATAGAAGTGAATTTCAATTTTGATCAATAACAATGTAAAGCAAAAAGTGTAGAATTTCTGCAATTACATTTCAGTTCTTAAGACATTTACTTGAAATTAAATTCAATATATTTAAATTTAGTGGTATTCTGTGATCAGATGCATTTACATGGAAGTTCCAGTCACTTCAGAGTTTATTTTATACGTCCTATAGTTTTAAAGCTAAATTTGACATGTGCATTTATCTGGATTGCATATCTTCTACAACAAATTCTGTGATTCTGTAAAATGATTTAAATATGCTACAAAATTCCAAGTGGGAAGCTAGAAATGAAAGATGTCAGTCCCATAGTAAAACTGTTAAAGGTAAGATGTGCTTGTGCGCACACATGCACACACACACACACACACACACACACACACAGAGGAAGATAAATGAAGCAATGCTTAGAAAGAGAAAGTAATAGGCGTGTTCAGACAGTATGAAAAGTTCACAAGGAAAGCCTTGACCTTGTCTCGTGTCATTTATAATTGCTAGAATAAGTAGTAGAAAACTCATACTTGAAATTGTCTGCATTTTGTAGTTTTATATCCTTTTTGAGCAATTTTCTTTGCCAATTATTTTACAGTTGTAGTTTCTTATTATTTCTATCTTGCAATTTATGAGGAAAAGGTCTTGTTGATCTGAGAACACTGAATTATCTGCAAACAGAAATTGTATATTTATATAAAGAGTGATTAATTAATTTTTTTCACATGTTTAAGTTGGTAATTTATTATTATTATTTCAAGGAGAAATAATTTTTAATTGGCAGAAGAATAAGAAGGAAAACTTCATACAATGCAAAATGTTAAGAAAACAGCTCATCACAATTCAAGGAAAATATTAATATTTAGCTGTTATTGAAATCCAAAAACTCATATATTTAAAGTTGAGTTGCAGTGAGTAATATTCTGTAATACAATTAACCCAAAGTAAAACACAATCCTAAATATATTCATAGGAACAGGAATACTGTTTAGGATTACAGCGTTAGATCCATGTCATATCAAACATTACCTAGAAAAGGCAATTTAGTGAAACTGACTTCCCAGTAATCTGTATAAGAATGCTGGCATAAATTTGTCTAAATTATTGAAATTCTTCACTATTATAGACTTCATTATACAAATAAAGCCATCACGGCTTATTTCAGAACAGTATATGTAACAAAACATGCTTAACAATGGATGGCAAATACCATTTTAAATTAGTCCAGTTACATAGTTTTGAACATTTCAAAAGGTTTTTTGGCAGAATTTTATTCAGTATATGTAAATTATATATTTTTGTTTTCTGCTTCAAATTGGTGTATCTTTCTGACATAATTGATATAATGATTTTTGTGGGGGTCACTTTCGCATACAAATAGAGATTAGATTTCAAATTGCTATTTCATTTTCTTTGAAACTTGAACGCCTATAGACCTATACATATGTCTATCACGCTTGTACGTTAGAAAATTTTTATGTACAAATAACTAGGGCAATGCCTAAGGTGTAGATTCTAAACAGGCATGAATTAGACCATTGCATTTGTTAGAACCTCTATATCCCAAAGAACTCAGTAGAGTCTTTCCCAAAATGTATCTGCGTGTATTTACAGTGGTGCTGACAATGAACAATTGTAAGTAATTTTCTTCATCTGGCATCGCTGTTGTACAAATTTTTCTTCCATTAGAAACCCTATCAGTAGCAAAAGCAAAGTGTTTGTGTTTTGGTACACTGGTAGTCATAACTTGCAACAGTAGGTACCTTTGCAGAGCAATGAATAGACTTAAATCTTGCCCTTGTCTTGTATTGACTTTCAACAGGTTATAAGGACCTTTGTATTTGACTGATTGCAGTAGCATCACAGGAAACTGTCATCTGTTTCCAACATGATCTGTACATGATATCATGATGGGAAATTCAGTCATCAAAACTAGCAGACAACTGCTGACAGTTCCTCCATGTGTCCGCAGTAGCTCGCTTTTGATAGTATCTTTCGCTGATGTAATATAACCTAGCATGAGAAAAACAACAATCTTTAATCAGTTTAACTTCTTTCCTTTTAAATGATCTGTGTTGTCCATCACTGCACCTCTTTCTTATCAAAACCTCTGAATTCAACACTGTAGTGCTGAGTGTTTGTGTAATAATTGTGGGTATATGTTGCAAACAAATTTAAATTTAAATGCGGGGGTTAATTCACCTATGTTAATGAGGATAACAATGGCCAAGTAGAAGCCTTTATTCATTTTATTTAGCATTTATTTATTTGATCTGTCATGCAAAATGAATCCTTACGTATGCTACAGTGTATCAAACAATTTTCATCTCTAGCTTTCTGTCTACACTTATCTTTATTTCACTGTTGGTTAAAATGTAGTTTATAGTTAGAGATGAATACAAGCAATCCACTTTTACAAAGGACTTGCACTTTATAATCAAGCCGGGCCTGTTTAATTCAGTGGTTCTTGCCTTGCAAGTAACAAGATGGAGTTTGAAATGTAAATCATTTTATTATTTATTTTGGACTGCTTCTTGACCCACCTGATAAGCTGTCCTTAGAGCTTCTTAAATATCAGATATTATCTGGGAGACTTGAATGGCTAAATGTAATAAGAAAGCAATTTTATACAGTAAGAATATGGAAATACTTTTTTTTTTAAAAAAAGGAAATATTATTTGATAGCATTTTGAACTATAACAGTTACATATTTAAGAAAGTACATGTTGAAAAAACAATTTAAAACTAAATAAATAAAAGTCTCCAAGTCAGTTCTTAGAATTCATTTAATACAGGCAACAAAATTAGGCATTTGCAAACTGTTGAATGCTGTGCCAACTAAGAATTTGAGGAAGGGTGATATGGAAGGAGAAATTAATATTCAGTAATATTAAATATATTAATTCCAAAAGTAAACAAATGATAACAAGGAAGGTTTATAAAATATCCTCTGCATATTGTAAGTTTTGCTGATCACTTCCATATACCTTGATTCTAGACTTCCCTACATTATTAACTGATGAATAAACACGTTTCCTTACTTATTTTCCATTGGCATCAGTAGGATTTGTTCCCCATTATACCTATTTGGGAAAGCTTCTTAATTATTTAAAATAATGACGAAACTATTTTTTCCATGTTCATGAACTATTTTGCAACCCTGAGATCCAAGCTTAAACTACCACATGCTATCCTAACACCACACAGAATTAGGTATCCTTAAATCCACTGGAATCAATGACTGATAATTCTGTAATAATCTGTTTAGAACCTGGTACATACTACTGTTGCACAATTTGAATTAAGTGACCTGGAGTCTTGCATAAACTCCAAACATTGTGCAGTGGTAGCATTTGATGGATTACTTCCAAAATATTTGCGATAATTTCCAAGAAATGCCTTAAAAAATACATATACCAGCGTACTTATTAAAAATATCGCTTATGAGAAAATGATTTGATAAATGCCTGCTAATAGTGTGATTTTTTTGTTGCTTTTAATGATTATTCTACAAAGCATTTTGGTGTATATACACACGCATGCATACACATAGCATAAAGGATTCATCCGAGTTCTCAAACTTTTCAGCATGCTTCTACAGTACAAGCACAATATATTTACTATGTGTGTTTTTCTTTCAGACAGAGGTAATCTGTTCATTATGCTTGGTTTTTTTTATTATTATCAACATATCATTCATCTTGAACAAAAACACCGAATCCTACAGGCCAGGAACCAAAGATGCGATATAGGCGCATCTTAAGAGCTAGAATCCAAAGAATAGCACAACTCATTCTGCGTTCTCATGGGGGACATTGGGCTTGTGTTTCTCAAACATCACCTCCCCATACCAAATGGCAAACCACTTTTGAAATTAAGGGGACTTTTAAAAGCACATTTTATATGGCACAATGGGTGGTCTGGTGCTCAAAGAAGAAGAAGAAATTAAAATCCCCACATGTCCCAGCCTTTGGCATACCTAAATTAGTTCTTTTAACCCCAGCCAAGGCCATATGTGTGCCCACTCCCCCCTTTTGAGCAGCAGACTACAACACCATATCATTACAAGCTGCTTTTGAAAATTTCCCTGAATTCAAAAGTAGCTTTTCCTGTAGTCTTCGGGGTTGCTTTCCAATATACATGAACCCAAAGTAAACTAGTTATCACAAAGAAAGAGAGAGGGAGCGATGCTTTACTGCGTTTTGCTGTAGGATTCTAAACAGATATGACTGTATCGTAGATACGTCTTGATTCGGGCCAAAACTTTGGCGTAATTAGATTAATCAAATATTTCGCTGATAACATAGTAACTTTGAAACAATTCCTACAAATACAGGGCCAAATACAAATCCTACCATTAGGCAGCCTCCTATTATGTGTTGTTATTGCCGGGGAAGCTGAAAGGGGCTTATGGGAGCTTCTGCCTCAAGTAGCAAAATAACTTGGTCAACCTTGATGGGGATGGGGAGCTTGATGTCCCACCTGAGGCAGCTAAATGCATCGGGCCAGCCCTACTAACCCAAATCCAAAATGTGGGATATGAAAATAAAGCCCATTGATTACAGTAGCACTTATTTCTAGTAGCACATTGTATGTGTGGGTATTCTGCTAGGCGTATGGAACTCTGAAACATGCAAGGAAGGGATTTCCCATTTAGAATAGTATGAAACACCTATCAGAGTGTGCGCCTCTGTGATAAGTCGGAGCTCCCGAAAGTGGAAACTGCATGTTTCCTTGAACTTTATATGTATATTGAATGGAGCTCTAGATTAGGATGGACACATTTAGGGTTGGAGTTTCTTTTTGTGAGTCAAAACACAAATAACACAAGTGCCTGCTTTTAAAGGCAAAAAATATTACTTTGAATATGCTTATAATTATAATGCAATTATTCTTAATATGAAAATATGAAATGCTATACAGTGGTACCTTGGCTTAAGAACTTAATTTGTTCCGGTGGTCCACTCTTAACCTGAAACTGTTCTTAACCTGAGTTACCACTTTAGCTAATGGGGCCTCCCACTGCCGCTGCACCGCCGCAGCCATGCGATTTCTGTTCTCATCCTGAAGCAACGTTCTTAACCTGAGGTACTATTTTTGGGTTAGTGGAGTCTGTAACCTGAAGTGTCTGTATCCTGAAGCATCTGTAACCTGAGGTACCACTGTATTAGTTTAAGTTTCTAAACAAGACATTTTTATTTACAGTATATTTTTCTAATGCTTTTCATGAATATTATAATTACGCATTAGAAGATAAGATCATTTTAGTACGAAGTGGTTTTTGAATCAATGTGCAATTCTGTGCTCACTTATTTTGGAGTAACCTCCATTGAACACAGTGCGATCACACTTGGAACTATGCTGTGTGAATGATAAAACCCACTACTTTCCAAAGAACAACTTGAGACATACTCTAGAGCAGTCTTCCTCAACCTGGTATCCTCCAGATTTTGTTAGATGACAACACCCATCAGCTCCAAGTAGCGCAGCCCCGTAATCAGGGATGATGGGAATTGTGGAACCTCGGGAGGGCACTGGGTTGAATTAGGCTGTTTGCATTTATACATAGGATTTTTTTTTTATATTTAGTTTCAACATCTAACCACCATGTCCCTTGTCTTATAATGTGGTGTAAGAAACTATGATTTTTTAAAAAGCACAGTTCAAAAGCATATGCAGGTACTAAAAACAAGTTGCGTGCTTTTCTGACTTTTCCCTATGATACATCAAAACAGCTTTAAAATAATGGAAGTGCATTAAAATACTTTTGGAATTTTAAAAACTTTTAGGTTGTGTTCTGAATGCCCTTACTAGAGAATAGCCCTCACTGCATTCCATTGGACTATACTGCTTCCAGATGACTTGTTTATTCAGCATTCTTTGTGATTTGTTTACTAGGAGGTTAGATGATGTTGCACCAAAACAAGTGTTATCCCACACTCTCCAATGCATTTCCCCAACACTTTCCTTATTGCAGAAGGTCTGATCTTTCAGGGGAAAGGATATGTTGTGGAAGACTTCCCGATCCACTATAATTGGGTAAGCTAAATTTGCCAGTATGGAACTGAATCTCACCTGCAAACAATGCCGGTCTGGAAGGATCCTTACTTCTCAGTAAACTTGAGTAAAAATTATGCTGTATAATCTCATTTGCTTGGAAGAATAGTACATGGATTTCAACTGAACTTAATTTTACAAATCAGGGTAGGAGATAATACACGGCCTGTGCAAACGGTATGAGATTGCTTAGTTCAGTATGAGACCATATAAGACAAAGGCAAGTTAAGTTTTGCTTATGTGTTGATACTTCAAATTACTTTCTGTTTTTATGCATTATAGAATTCGAATGCTTATCTAGTTTGGGTTTGTCTTGTAGTAAAATGCCTTTAACTGCCAATAAGTCCCCATCTTTAATCTGAACTGGCTAGTAACACACCCAAGCAAAGTTGCATTGAGACAATTGCACATTTAAGACATACTGGTAATTAAAGAAAAATGTGTACCTTTACAGTGGTACAGTATAATTTTATATATACTCCTGGCCCAGAATAATTTTACGCCTATCATTTACAAATTAAATTCCTTTTGTTTTATCCTTACTTCTCTTTATCTGTTGTCATGTTGGCAAGCGAAGATAGAACCATAGCAAATTGAGCATTCTTTAATATTTTTAGGGTCAGGATAAATTGCAGTGTTGTTTTTTTTAATTAAAAAAAATAGAAAATTCGGGGGGGGGGGGGGATCTGCTATATAGGCCAGTTTCTAACCATTACAAATAGTTTCCACTGCATTTTGAACATAATGAAAACAATGAATTTTATTTTACCTTGTACTCTTTCCCTCCAACCGTCATATAAAAGCCAGGTTGAACAGTCAACCATAGTAAGCAGCAGCTGCTTAAATGCAACTCTATCCGCTTGCTTTGTGCTCAGAAGAAAATCTTATGTGGATTGCTGCAAATAATGTTAGCAACTGCAAATAGGTTGCTGTTTTGAGCAAACCTACTGGCATACATGAGGTTTGCTCAGAGATCAGGAATTATCCTCAATAGCAGTTGGTGATATAAGGGGAAGAAGAGGGGCAACAGCCACTTCTCCCCACTGGGTATGAAAGGGCCAGTTTTCTGTACTAGATGAAATACCATATTTGGGATTTATTATTCATATGGTTCCAAAAAATAAGTCTGATGAAGCTCTTCATTTGTAATATATTTTAATGCAGTAAACTGACTTAGCCATGTGAAAGCGAGTAAAGTAGGAAAGAGTTTATCTGACTTTCAGTACTGAACCTAGTTGTCAGACTTAGGGGTTCTGTTTGGGTGCAGGGTACACGGGTGCAGAAAACGCAGGATGGTCCTTTCCTTCTGCTATTAAACCCGATATTTATAAACAAGTTTATTTTAGATGGAGATCCTGTTGGGACTGCAGCTTTAGTGAACCTGGGATATGCCTTCAGTTTCAGCAACAGGTGGAGAATAGCGGTAGGAGTTGAGGTGAGCCAGGAGAATAAGGGTGGAGAGTTTATTTATTTTCTTTACTGCAGAATATTATTTTAAAACGTGCTAGTAATTATGCAGAGGCAGTAGTAAAAAGGCTTTAACTACAAAGCTTAATGTTTGTATATTCCTAATGAGTGTGTAACCCATGGTTGTTTACAGTGGAAGGGGCCTGTGCCTCCTATCATTCAGTCTGCCAGCATTAAAGCAGCTTTTACAGAAGTTGCAGAACCCCTTTAAAACAGTAGAAGAACAGCAAGGAAACCAGGATATTTGAATTAGTTTCAGTAGCTATCCTTTCCCATTTGGATCTACTCCACTGCAGCTCATGCTGTTTTTTTGACAGATATTGCAAGATTTTTTTTTAATGGTCTCGTTATAACTAAAATTTGGTTGGCATCCATCTGTCTTGGGAGACAGTGAGGGATTGCACCTTTGGGGGTGAAGTCAAACTGTTGGAAGGTTACAGTGTCTGCTGTGGCTGTAGATACTAGTACAGGAGAAAACATGTTTTATTGTAGCTGGGGGCAGATGAAGGTGCCCAGTTGTGCTACTGCAGATGTACCATGGTGCTTTTTCTCTTTGCGCTCCTCCCAGCAGTCATTCCTCCTCTGGTCACTGCTATGGAGGCATGACCCAACTGACTGTCTCTAGGCGCTGCGATTCCCACATGGCAGGATTGCCAACCTTCATGTCACGTTTGCAGACATCTTCGTAACATGTCTGCCAGCAGGCCTGGTGCTTGAAGCCAGCTTCCGAAGACCATACTTGGATTCAACTAATACCACCCAGGGAAACTACCCTGGAAGCCAAATAAGCATTAAAAGGAAAAGATTTTGCTAATAAGAAACTTCTTTCTGGTATGACAGGAGGAAAAACTAATGAATACACATGCAGGGTTGTACTCAAGTAAGTCATAATCAGAGTAGAATCAAGGGGCACGACTAACTTAAGTACACTGAAAATGAATATGAGTGAAAATACTATGCACCACTAAATGCAGGTGCTGTTCTTTGTGAGTTATCCACATATTTGTATAGTCCTTTTCTTGACCCCTCAAGAGGTTGTACATTCAGCCACTAATAATCCCCCCATTCCAGGTAGATAGTAAATCAGTGGGTCTATAATAATTTTCAGCATTGACAAGAGAACTACAATTTGCACAAGAAATTGAGCCTACCACATTGCTCCCTTAAAAGGAGAAAAATTGTGCTGTGTAGCTCATCGTCAACAATGTATTTAAAAATCTCCGAAGTTTGTCATAGGATTGAAATCTAGTAGCTTTCTCTGTGTGTATACAGGTGGAAACAATGTAGTTATACATCAAGACTTCCATAAAGAAACTTCTTGTTATTTCTAGTTTGAGTATTACTGCAATGTGCATGTGTTTAAATCTAGTAAATAAATGGATGTGCACAATTCAGCAGATGTTTCTTCCTCTAAGAAAGAGTTTCAAAATAGGCTAAAGTGGTCATGGCATAGAAAGGAATATATGGATAGTTTTTAAAACATATCTGCTGGAAGCAGGGAGTGAGACCATTCTTTTCATTTCTGTTCTCAAAAATATAGGAGATTTTGCCAGGCTCATCACCTGGTTATGGGCCAGCTTTTGAACCAGTGGATCTACTGCCAGCTCTTCCTTGACCCCATAATGGCCTGTTTTGTTGAGTGGGTTGGTGGTTTCTACTGACTTTTGCAGGTGGTAGCTTCCTGACTGCCTGTACTTTCAGCAAGTGCAGCGAGGACTTTCATGGCAGCAGAACCCTCCTGCAGTAGCGTGGTTTGGGGATTGTTCCCGAAGGCTGCAGTCCTGAGTCCAGTTACCTGGGAGAATGGAATAGGAATAGACATGGTTAGCATTGTGCTGTAACTCTGTTCTCTGCTTGTTTTCCGTTTCAAATTATCAAAGCTGTCCTTCATGGTTTCCAAGCTGTGCTTTCTGGAAAAAAGACACTGGAGGATTTTGATTTATAATTGCTCTTTGCTATTGATCTCCTGTAACCAAGGAAACTATAAACACTTCCCTATGTCATGTGAGCAACATATTAAATTAGAAACAACTTTTTTAAAAAGAAAAGAAAAGAAATGTCCTTGATTTCAGCTTTGTGCATCTTAAATAATAAACATAACCTCTCAGTTAAACAGACCTTTGTGTTCTGATCTCGAAGGAGTTCTGATAGACTTATCACAAATGCCTTTGTCTTTTTAATGGACAGAGCAATCCAAAAGAGTAGGGACCCAGCACATTCCAAACTCCATTCAGGAGCAAGGCAACTGGCTGCTGAGCCAACCTGAGCCTGGAGAGGGGAAACAAGCCTTTAAACTAATTTGACTTATGCCATCCTTTTTACGGTGCAGCTTCCACTGGATTGCTAGGTCATGTGACCAAGCTCAATAGGGTTTGGGATGGGAGTAAATTTCCCCCTGTTCTATCCTATACAAGACCCCTTTTTGGCAACTTAGCTCAGCCGCTTTCAGATTACCTGGTTGAGCCCCAGCTGAGCTGACACGTAACAAGATGAAGAGGGCCGGCTCAAGACATTTTGCTGCCTGAGGCAAGATGGCATCCTCCCCCAAGGCCCATACAGAAGACAGTTGGACTGGCAATTTAATCTTAATCCAATATTGGTGAGATGAAAATATAGCCCACCACACTTGAGAGCAGCATAGGGGGTACAGGCCACATGGCTGTCACAACTTTTTACCACATGGCAGCTGCCTCACTCTGCCTCATCATAGGGCCAGCCCTGTGGATGAAGGAATTCGGCCTGTATGGCTTTGGCTGAGCCCAGGCTCATCCCAGCTGAGCCAGAAATCTCTCTATTCCAAACTCCACGCACCCCAGAGGATACTGGGTTTGAATGGCTTCCTAAAATACTAAGAAAAATACAGGAACCCTTTGAAGAGATGGGTGATTAAAGATTAGAAGATAGTGGAATTAAGCATAGTAACTCAGCCAAACTGTATTTTTCATAGGTACAGTGGTGCCTCGCAAGACGAAATTAATTCGTTCCGCAAGTTTTTTCTTCTTGCGAGTTTTTCGTCTTGCGATGCACGGTTTCCCATAGGAATGCATTGAAAATCAATTAATGCGTTCCTAGGGAAACCGACTTCAGACCAGGTCCGGGGACAGTCTGTCCCCCGACCTCTTCTGAAGGCTGGGGGACAAGGGCTTTTCTTCCCACCCCCAGCATTTTAAAAACCCGGGACAGCGGAGAGCTTCTCCGCTGTCCGGGGCGATCTTAAAATGCTGGCGGGCGGCATTTTAAAGTTGCCCCGGGACAGCGGAGGACTTCTCCGCTGTCCGGGGCAATTTAAAGCTCCTGGGAAGGCAGGCAGGGGGACAAGACTTTTGCCCCCGCCAGCCTTCAGAAGAGGTCCTGGACCTCTTCTGAAGGCTGGCGGGGGCGAAAGTCTTGTCCCCCCACCTGCCTTCAAAAGCTGTCCAGCCAAGGCTTCGCGGACCTCTCCGCAAGCAGCGGCAGCACTGCCGCTGCTTGCGGAGAGTTGCCGGCATGCCGAAGCCTGCGCGCGCTGAGATCAGCGCGCCCAGGCTTCGCGGACCTCTCCGCGAGCAGCGGCAGCGCTGCCGCTGCTCGCGGAGAGTTGCCGGCATGCCGAAGCCTGGGCGCGCTGAGATCAGCGCGCCCAGGCTCGCGGACCTCTCCGCGAGCAGCGGCAGCGCTGCCGCTGCTCGCGGAGAGTTGCCGGCATGCCGAAGCCTGCGCGCGCTGAGATCAGCGCGCCCAGGCTCCGCGGACCTCTCCGCGAGCAGCGGCAGCGCCTGCCGCTGCTCGCGGAGAGCTGCCGGCATGCCGAAGCCTGCGCGCGCTGAGATCAGCGCGCCCAGGCTTCGCGGACCTCTCCGCGAGCAGCGGCAGCGCTGCCGCTGCTCGCGGAGAGTTGCCGGCATGCCGAGCCTGGGCGCGCTGAGATCAGCGCGCCCAGGCTTCGCGGACCTCTCCGCGAGCAGCGGCAGCGCTGCCGCTGCTCGCGGAGAGCTGCCGGCATGCCGGAGCCTGCGCGCGCTGAGATCAGCGCGCCCAGGCTTCGCGGACCTCTCCGCGAGCAGCGGCAGCGCTGCCGCTGCTCGCGGAGAGTTGCCGGCATGCCGAAGCCTGCGCGCGCTGAGATCAGCGCGCCCAGGCTTCGCGGACCTCTCCGCGAGCAGCGGCAGCGCTGCCGCTGCTCGCGGAGAGTTGCCGGCATGCCGAGGCCTGGGCGCGCTGATCTCAGCGCGCGCAGGCTTCGCGGACCGGAGATTTCCCTATGGGCTTTCGTCTTGCGAAGCAAGCCCATAGGGAAATTCGTTTTGCGAAGCGCCTCCAAAACGGAAAACCCTTTCGTCTAGCGGGTTTTTCGTCTTGCGAGGCGTTCGTCTTGCGGGGCACCACTGTATTAAGAGTCCTGCTGCTCATTCTTTCAGTTGGCAATTCTGAGTGTGTACTAAGGTGGATTTAGTCACAGCAATAAAGCTGGTTTTCCTAGACCATCATTGAATCAAGCTGATAATGGAACCTGTTAAATTTTATTCTGCATATTCTCTATGGTGAGTCACTGCAGCACAGCATGATTGCCGCAACAATACTAGCAGTTTGGATACCAAATGCCCCGTATAAGATTTCTGTATAAACATACAACAGAACGCTGGGTGGGGGATATATATGAAAGAAACATGTTCATGTTAATTGAAGCATTTTATGTCTATTAATACGATGCTTCGAACTTTTTAAAAAAGACTGCCGTGTGTGCAAATGAAGAACACTGAAAATTCTGGGATCATAGCAATAATATGACAAAATTTAAATAATAGGATGATTGATCAATGTATTATAATTGTATATTTTTCTTGGGCAAGCAAATGTTTGGCTCTGTAGTTAAGAGTCTTTGCTTTCAGACATTGGGTTGGCTTTGAAGTCAAAATATCCAGGACTAGAGAAATTAGAGTCTTTTGTGTGCATTTTCTGGAAAAGATTACTATGTTCCTGCGAGAAATTGTAAGGCTGCTATACTGAAGGCAGTGGAACTTACTTCTGAGTAAAGATGCAAAGGTCCAGTTAGATTCATTGATAAAAGAGCATACTTTCATAAATGGGCTGCCAGATTATGTAAGTGTCCCATTTGCACAAACAAAAGGAAATAAATTTGCTGGTGCATTATATTTTAAAATAAATGCCAGGTCAATAAATGCTGAACACAACTCATCTGTTTGAAAACTAATCTATTGCCCTAAACATATTTACTTGTGAGTAAGTTCTACTGAGATCAATAAATGGCTACCCTACAGCATGACATTCCCTTTATCTCTCAGGTGAATGGTGAATCCTGGGTTCCTACATTGTCACAACTTCAGATGTTGTTTGGGGAAAAACACTAAGATAATGTGAGTCGTTGTGAGTGTGCTGTGTAAAATATAAATATTTTCTCCTTTCATATCTTATTATTTTTGAATTTATTAATACTCTATTAAAACTTTAATAGAAGCTGCGGGGTTTACGTAGCCCTAAGTAAATTGGTTTTAATTTGGAGTATTTGGACAGGTGGACTAATTAGCAAGTGGATGCAAATTGCAATGATCCCATATAACACTATATTTTCATGTATTTTATTCTTGTTTTAATTATGATTCACACCCCCACCACTAGTCAAGCACAGCATTTGCTAACAAAAAACAAAAATATTTTCTCAGTTTTTGAACTACTGCAATAAAAACAAAGAGTGCTTTGTCAGTGAACACTCTCTTCGTGCTGCCAGTTGAAATTCCTGAAACTGCCTTCAAAGGCAGACCCGGGTAGAGGCATTGCAGTAACTTAACTAGAAAAAAGGGGAGAGATGAGACCTCAAGGGTGTACAAAAATAAAGATTTTATTGGTCCAACATGTTTTGAAATATGTACCACTGTTCTCTAGTGAGTTCTGTAATCAAATCATTTGGTACTGAGCACCCCAAAGGGGGGGGGAAGTCACCTGCTTTTTAAGTGATCCTGAAGAACGTGTATATCAAAACATGTTGGGCCAACAAAAACCTTTGTTTTTGTGTACCGTTGAGATTTCCTCTCCTTCCCCCTTTTCCTATTACTGTTGCCTTCCTTCTTCTGGTTTCCCTGAAAGAGACTAGGACATGAATAATCAGACAGTGCCTCGGTCATTCACGGTTAAATTACTGTAATGCGTTCTGCCTTGGGCTGCCTTGGAAGACAATCCAGAAATTTCAGTTGGTTCAAAGTTTGAACACCAGGATATTTACTGGAGGCAGCAGAGTGCATCATATTTATTATCTACAGTTGGTTTCTGTATTCAGATCAATTTTCTGTTTTTAATCATTAAGGCCATAAATGGCATAGTACCTTAAAAACGGCCCTCCTCATATGATCCAGCTTGTGTACTTTAATCTGCCTCTAGCTAGGGAAGGGGAAGGAATTCAATTCAGTTCTCATTTAAAGGTAAACCTATCGAACCTGCACTCCTTGAAATAAGCAAATCAAAACACAGTCAACCTTCAAAATTTGAACTTCTATGAATTTTTCAATGCAGATCTCCAGCCAAGTAATGTGTACATATACACTTACATACTTACGTAAAGTGTGCGCATAAAATGCATATGCAGTATTAGTGAAGATAGCATTCAAAAATGTGTTAGGGGAACTTTCTTGGCAAAATGTGTACATTAGGCAAAGTTACATGCAAAAAAAAAATCTGTTTATTAGGAGAAATTCACACCAGAATGCTGATGAATTTTTAAAATAAAAATAGCAAATTTCTGTGGAAATGCATGTAACTGAATTTAATACTAGAAAATTGGAGAACTGAAATTGACATATCCAACTATTCCTAGCACCAGTGGATGGCTTAGGTGGGGTGCCACTGATCACCAGACCTCTGTTTGGTCATACCACTGCAGCTTACCCAGAGGCAGAGGTGAAGCAAGGTCATGGAGGTGCAAAGGCACTAGTTAAGCTAATCCTCTGCTCCTGACCATATATTTCCAGTATACCAACCTTCCTGCTGCCTTGACTCCCTACTTTACCTCCTGGTAAGCAGCAGCAATGCAACTGACTGGAGATGAGGTGAACAGTGGCATCCCATCAAACCATTCACTGCTGCCTCTGGGGCCCTTCTCCCGGCACCCTTGCTGTTTGATACATGGTGAGTAGGTATAAGAGAGAACCCTTTTTTATTGTGGTGCCCAGAATGTACAACAGCCTTCCCAAAATAATTTCTCGGATTTTATGGTTGAAGGGCTATGAAAACATTTCCCAGCAAGTCTCCCCCCGCCCAGCTATTTGATAGCTGTTGCTATCATTGCAGTTATTTTTATTCTTATTTTACAAGTTTATTGGATTCCTAGCCACCTTGATTATTTAGGTACAAAGAATAGGGAAATTATATGTCAGCATAGCACTTTGAAAGGGGGCAGTAAATTCAGGCATTTCTGTTCTGTTTCCCCACTCTCTCACTCTCTCTCTCCTGTGTTGGCATGGCTTATCTGAAAGATTCTTCACTTTTGGCTGGTCTATAGAAGAAGCATACAAGCCACAGAAGTTTGACTTGACACTATATAAACCTATTTAAGATTCAGTTTGTTCTCCTTAGTTTGACATAAGTAATTACGGGGTTATCCCAACAGTAAATTTTATTAACGTAACTTATAAGATGGAAAAGCATGAATGTCCCCGTTTCTCATGAGAGCTAGTGCAGTAGTCCAATGGGGACTGTGTTAGCCAGAGAAATATATCAAAGTCATAAGAGGACAATGGACTTGCTTGGTAGAAGAGAAGAGTTTGGATTTGATATTCCACTTTATCACTACCCGAAGGAGTCTCAAAGTGGCTAACATTCTCCTTTCCCTTCCTCCCCCATAACAAACACTCTGTGAGGTGAGTGGGGCTGAGAGACTTCAGAGAAGTGTGACTAGCCCAAGGTCACCCAGCAGCTGCATGTGGAGGAGCAGGGAATCGAACCCGGTTCACCAGATTATGAGTCCACCGCTCTTAACCACTACACCACACTTGGTAGCCACAGGCCAGTTGTTGACTCAGCCTCAATCCTCCATCTGTAAAGAAGAAATGACATTCTCAGTTAACTGGGGGAATTGCATGCATGTTCCCATGCACAAGGCTGCACAGAGTTGTTGAAACACACAAATTGAAGCCCACTACAAAATGAGACATTATGTTATGCTCCACTGCCTAATTTCTCCCCCAAATGAACCTGTTTGGGCCCAAAGGTCAGCTATAGAAGCCGTGCTTGATATTACTGTAAGATCAGTCACATCAGAAGCATGGGAAGAAGCTGCTTCATACAGAGTCAGACCCTTGGACCATCTAGCTCAGTATTGTCTATGTTGACTGGCAGCCGTTATAGAGGATTTCAGACTGGGACCTGGTCCCTGCCCTCCTATCTGTAGTTTCCTGGAATTAAACCAGAGATCTTTTGCATGCAAAGGAAGGACATGCACTTTGACTGACACCTCCTCTTCTATTTGATCTGGAAGTCACTGTCTTCCTTTTTGCTTTATTGCTTAATTGTGACTATCCACTCACTCACAGTTTGAGAATTGCTTTCTTAGAAAGCATGCTGGAAATAAACTCAGAAAGGTCAGCATAGTTTTTCATTAAAATAGCCATAATTAAAATAGGACTGCAAGGAACTGCCTGCCAACCTGAGTATAGTTAGACTGCTCAAATCCCACTGGTATAAATGGCATCCTCTAAAGCTGATTATAGTTTTAGCTTGATGATGCCTCATTAATTTTCATTGCGTTGCACAATACAGAGGAAAAAATCAGCATGTCTCCCAAGCTTTAGCAGACTACCGTAGACTTCAGGTGATGTCCACTCAGAATGTAGCCTGGGAATAATTTCTTTATTAGAAATAGAAGGACAAGAATGTTCTGCATAAAATGAAGCTTCAATATAAATAGAGATAAAATCTCCTGTATTTTCCCCCCTCTATTATTTTTCCCCCTGTACTATTTAACTGTCTGGCCCTATTAAAGAAGTAGGGCACTGATTTGGATGTCCCTTCAGCTTTATATATCAACATTGCAAGCCATTTTGTTGCAGTACACTGTTTCAAAATCTGTTTAAATGAACTGCATTATATGGCTAGGAATTAACAATTGCTCAACGTGCTTACTGAGAAAAAATATTTAGAATTGTACACTTACATGTAGTGATAGGAAAACTGACACATTTCAGCTCAGAATAGGCTCAGAATAGCTAAGCTAACACATTTAACAAAGTAATAATAAGAAAATAAATTATTTTATTTCCAAGCCTCCTCATGCTATCATGAACATTGGTGCATAGGTAGCTCCTCCCAGAATCCCCCATGGCCCTTTGCAGATCTTCCCTTCCTCCAAAGCTTTCCCAATAGCAGCGGTTGGACATAGAAGTGAAGAGCTCTGGATGAATGCAGCATTTCCCCCCCGAAAGGGCTGCATTTGCAGTCTTGAGGTGGTAAAAAAGGAATCACTTATTCCCAACTATTGAAAATAGTGTGCATCATAGAGGTACCACTAGATAAGATTCCTGCTAGGGTTTGTGCATGCATGTGCATACGTGCTAAGTACCTTTAAAGTTGGGGTGTGTGAGAGAGAGAGAGAGAGGGAGAGATGAAAAGGATTTCATTTCCTCCCTGTGGTTTTGTGAGTGGACTTGAATGAGCAGACTGGTGTTCTGCACAGTTGACACCATAAGACACAGAAACTACCGCTCTATAAGATGCACCAGATTTTTCGCTCTATAAGATGCACCAGACCACAAGACGCACCTAGTTTTTGGAGGAGGAAAACAAGAAAAAAAATATTCTGAATTTCAGATGCCAGAACAGCAAGAGGGATCGCTGCACAGTGAAAGCAGCAATCCCTCTTGCTGTTCTGGCTTCTGGGATAGCTGCGCAGCCTGCATTCACTCCATAATATGCACACACATTTCCCCTTACTTTTTAGGAGGGAAAAAGTGAGTCTTATAGAGCAAAAAACATGGTAAATACAAAGCTGACTTGACAGGAGTGGATGTGAGGGTATGTGACACAAAGGCAGAAGGCTTTGTTTGTCTAGAATTTCCAAGCAAGTTCCACTAGTAGTACTATCAATGAGCACAGAACATGGAAGAACAAGGTCAACATTGCTTCAGCATTCCTTCCTGAAAGCATTGCGATTGGGGAATCCTGGTAAAAAAAACATTCACTCTGATTAGAAACTACACCTACCACTCAAAATTCCTTTCTCTCCACTCTGGTGTTTTTCTTGCATGGCATGTTTCGGGAGATGTTTCAGTTTTGCAGCTGCACTGTAGCCACTGTTTTCATAAATACCACAATTTCTGAAATTCCCTCAATCACTAAATCAGAGGTCCCCGCTTCAATTCAGGGCGCTGCTTCATCTCAGACAAACCCTGAATCTGTCCAAAGCTGCCTGCTGTAGTTTGGGATTCATCTGAATCATATGCACAGCCCTATTGTCTGCTGCGAGGCAGAGGTGTATTTGTGGTGTCTGGCCACCCCTGGGCAGAAGAGATCTGTGTCCCTACAAAGAGAAACAATTTAAATAGATGAGACTCAATCCTGCAGACCCTGAATCATAGGTCCGCATCTTCCCACTAGGTGGGGCGGGTTGGGACAACCCCATACATATCATAATCCCTCACACACTCAACACCATTCAGGACAGTCTCTCCCTCCCTACACATTTGTTTTAACTGCTTCTTCTACCCCACCCTCCCAAAATGGGGAAGGAAGAAGCAGAATCAGCAAAGTTCCCATCTGGATCCCAGGAAATGCCTCCTCTTCCACTAATAGCTTTTCTGAATAAGGATGATCTGGGCTGACTTCTCCCTGTGTACAGCCATTGACGGAAAGACATGTGCGGCCTTTGGAGGAGTTCCTGCACCCTTTGCCCACAGCAGTCGTGTCACTCATTGTTGGGGATTTAGAGCAGCCCAGTTAGTCTAGCTCATTTCATAGAAATTTGTGGGTATCGGGGCTCATATTTAGCCTAATAACATTTCCCCAACATCACTTTTTGGGACGCGGGTGGCGCTGTGGTCTAAACCACTGAGCCTAGGGCTTGCTGATCAGAAGGTCGGTGGTTCAAATCCCCGTGATGGGGTGAGCTCCCGTTGCTCGGTCCCAGCTCCTGCCAACCTAGCAGTTCAAAAGCACGTCAAAGTGCAAGTAGATAAATAGGTACCGCTCCAGCAGGAAGGTAAACGACATTTCCGTGCACTGCTCTGGTTTCACCAGAAGCAGCTTAGTTATGCTGGCCACATGACCTGGAAAAACTGTCTGCGGGCAAACGTCGGCTCCCTCGGCCTATAGAGCGAGATGAGCGCCGCAACCCCAGAGTTGTTTGCAACTGGACTTAACTGTCAGAGGTCCTTTACCTTTTTTTACATCACTTTTTTTGTTATAAAACCAAAAAGCTTAAGAGTCCAGTCCCCCTGCCGCTGTTGCAAATGCCACCCATCAACTTTGCCATCCCTGGGCAATTGCCCCATTAATACATTTCGGCTGCAGGAGTGGCTAAAATGATTCAGCCTGAGGGCCAACCCATCTACCCATGGCCAACCCCCTGGGGCTGCATATGAGTGGTAGATGTGACTAAAATGGTGTGTGTGGCCATACCACATCCTTGCATACATGTGCACACACAGGACAACCCCCTTCCTTCTCAGCTAATATTTTTCTAAACCACTTTGAGGGGTTTTTAAAATAATCAAGTGGTTTATAAATGGTATGAAATAAATGAATAAAATAAATAATCTGTACAGATCAGCTGAGGAGGCGAGTTAGTGCTCCTCTCTGCTCATCAAACGATCAATATGATGATCAAGGAGATGGTGATTTGCATCCCGATAAGATTCCTGGGCTTTGCCTACCTCCGCACTGTGTCTACTTCATTATTGTTTTCTTTTTGCCACCACTGCCGAAATTGGTAGTGTCTAGGATATTTGCAGATAAGACCTATGTGCCTAATAACCAGATCCTGTACATTTTTATATTCAGAAGTAAATCCTGTAGTTTAATGGTTTTGATTGGGCTAGAAATCCATTAATTTCAATATAATTTAGGCACGCCTAATTTTATCTGGATTGCCCAGAAGTCAGTCCAGAGTTACACATGATTGTACTTCAATGATTTCAATGGGACTTAACTGGCCAATTTGTTTAGGATCAGGGTATTAAGAGTCTCAGCTCTGAAGACTGTAGCTGAAATGAGAATTAGATCATATGAGTTATACATTGGCTAGTCTATTGCTAGTCCCTAGAGGACTTTTTTCCATCTCACAAAAACCCGCCACACTGTTTGGCACAAACTAAAGACTCAGCTCAAGAGGCTTCTGTTCCAGGACAGAAATAGCAGGCAGAAATGAGTGTCAGAATTGAGATGCATTTCCACAGTTCTTTGGAGACATTTTTACAACTTTTTGTCTGAGCTACACCTGGCTGTAGCCAGGAATAAATCACCTAATTTTTATGAATGCTAAATTAATCTTACTTATAAAAAGCCAAACTTTTGTGAAGTAAAATAATAATCTTACGGGGATCAGCCTACGATAGTAAATCAAGGCATTATCCAAAGACAATAAAAGGATTTCACAGATGTTTAAGGTCTGCACTGATTTCTTGTAGGCACCTTGTCCATATGAAAGGGACTTAAGCAAGGGAGGCACTCAAGTATAGCTTTATTCAGACCAGACACGTCTTGGGTGATAGTTGATTTACTGCCAGGTCACTTATGAATCTTATCAACCATCTCATCTCTTGCCTGTTATCTTAATTCTGTATGCTATAAAAAGATTGCTTCCAGTGGAGATGATTTCACACAAGGGCTGTTCTACCCTGACTAAGCAAGGGCAGCTGCTGCTAAGGATAGAAGAAGACAATTGCATTAAAACATAACCCGTAGTTGTTGTTGCTGCTGCTGTTGAGGATGGGTTTGTGCTGGGTGAAGGCAGCTCATCCTCCTTTCTCTTCTTCAGAAGTAGGAAGCAAGGGCAAGATAAATCTTCTTTGTCCCTCTGCCGTTTGTTCAAGGGAGCTAATTCCTTTCCTTGGGATTACAAAAAGAAAAGAAAAAAACAGGATTGGTGGACTCGCAACATCCACACAAATGTATGCTTCATTGTTAAGAAGAAGGAATAAGAGGCGATGGGAGAGAGGCACAGAAAACATCAGACTCTGTTCTAGACAGACTGTCCCCTAGACTGTCTATTTCAGACTCAGTCCACTCCTATGATTGGCCTGGTCAATCTGAAAGCCCTGATTTAGATAGAGGAGTTTAATAAGCAAAGCCAAAAGTATATCTCTAGATTGACTCACTAACTGGATCTCCTCTGCTTCTCATATCCAGCTAAAGTTCTCGCTCCTGTCTCTAACATTTGTATGTGGGGGGGGAGGGGAGGGGGGATGCAGCATTCCTTCAAAAAAGCAAAAAACAAATGAAAACCCCACCCTGTTTTCATTGATGAAATATTTGGTATCGAGTGTGTGACTTCCTCTATGGTTTTCTAGCCAATTTCCTAACATTTTTCTTCCAAGTGCACACTAAAAAGACCTTGCCTTAAATTTGAGGATAACTTGATATGTAATAGCAATAGCTTATAGTATGTTTGAAGTTCTCAAACCTAATGGCAATGAACTGTACAAATAAACATGAGATCAATGAACCGCACGACACATGACAAACTGCTCTGCCGTGTATATTGTGTAGCATGTTGCTCAGGAGATACTTCTAAATGCATGATTACTTTCAGATCACATAATAAGCTGCATATGATTTGCTCACAGTGTTTTAATTTTTTAAAAGTTACATTGTACTTTTTTTTTTTTTTTGAGACATTCAAACACCCCCCCCTCCCAAGAGCTTCATATGCTCCCCTGGTTGAAAAACACTGCTTTCAAATCTGCACCCTGCTAAAAAATAGGACTTTGGGGCTTTATTGTAGTCTTCTGCGCCACAGTCATACTGAAATTAGCCATTCCTCATCCACTCTGCCATCACTGTTTAAAAATAATCAGGCAACTAAGCAGACAACAGCAACAACAAAGCCCTGCCACATACTCACAGCTTTAAAGCAAATGAGCAAATAAGTAAAGGCACATCATGAAAAATCTAATGCATAATTCACTAGGAAGTTTGTCAGATATTGTCATGAATGACATTTGTTCAAGCCCACTGATTTTAACAGGTTACCCAACCCTGTCATAAATAATGCTCTCAGGCTCCTTCTACTTTTCAAACATGGTAGACAGAAACACCATTTTAAAAGGGCTCATGGGGACAGAAGTTTGTTTATAATGAGGAACTGCACTGTGATTTTTACAGGTGCGGTTCAGTGTTGCTCAGGTATGTAACTTTTGTTACTGTTACTTTGCCTTCATGCTAATATTTGTTGTCAGAATAGTTAGCTTCTCGAACCCAGGATGTTATCTTTAAACACATATAGATGATAAAAACAATCTGCCAGTCCCTTGCCTTGTCATCAATGTATAGAGGTTTATAATATTTATTTATGCAATTATTTATTTTAATAACTTTCTAGCCTGGAGAGTGAATTCCAAAGTTCTTAAGCCACCACTGAAACTTTCTTACTGGTGCACCTGAGGTTAGGGCCTCAGACACTGACCTTAAAGTTTTGGAGGGCTTATATGGGTAGACGGTGCTTCAGATAACTTGGTCTGAAATCCTGTCGGGATTTATAAGTCAAAACCAGTCCCTTAAATTGAGCCTGGAAATGAAGAAGGAGCCAGTCCCTTCACATTCATGTGACAATCTGCTACTAATGACTCCTGCATACTTAACATTATGGTATCTTTTCATTTTCATATATTTTATGGCTTCCCATTTCCCCATATTTTAAAAGATCATCACATGTACTTCCAAAGTATCAGAGCTCCAGATGACCCTTATTTTAAATGCTACAACTATATTATCCCTTATTTTTCACATTTTGATCTTAGCAGACTTTTCCCTGGCCTCGTAGCTATGGCATTTTTCTTGTGTGTTGATTTTCAGTCTACCCGGCCTCCTACTTTCTTATCCTGTTATTTGCCAAGTAAGGTGGGTTTAGACTTTTTATACCAGTCTATACACCTCTTAAATACTTATTTTGGAAGGCTTGTAATTGTCTGTGCCTATGTACTTATTGAACTTGCTGTCTACTAATAGGCAAGAACTAGTAAATGTAAAGAAATATCTGAAAGGACACGCTGTTGAACTAATATTTTTATTCACCTCGGCATATTAAATAATTGAGAAGCTAGAAGGAGCTGGCAGAAAAAAAATGAAGGCACATTGGAAAATGAGCAAGTAGCCTAAATATTCAGGTTCTTATGGATGGAAAAGATCTCTGCCAGGTTTACAAACATTTCAGTTCCGCCATTTGCGCAGTTCCTCATTTTAAGATCCAGAAACCAGTTAAGCAGAAGTATTAGAATTGCAATTCACTAGTTATGCTTTTGTTCCATTCTGCAACTGAAGTAGTAGTTAGAATTGATAACTAGGGTCACAGAACAAACATATGAGTTGGACTTTGTCTTGCACTAGTGCATTAGCCACTGTTGGGAAACTTGCTAGTATAGGCTGCTAGCAGTCTCTGGCACTCTATCCTAAGGGCTGCCAATGTTGTCACGACACTGCTACATTGAATTTTCATAGTAAGGGAATAAGATAGAAATGGAGGGTTTTAATATGAAAGTATAGTCAAGCTAAGTATGCTGCAAATAGAAGATATTTGTTGTGACACAAAAGCTTGCCAAGTGGGGTGGAGCCATGCAGCTCAAAGCTAAACAGAGCATTTTTCATAAGCATTCTTTCCAGGTTAGTCTTCTGCAACTCAAAAATGTAATGACAGAATCACTCCAAAACCCTGCTGGGAAGCCCCATCCCATCCCCTTTCTTAGCAAAAGTGCTGAAAATGGAAGTGTTGTCCTGGCCACATCCTGACCTAGCTCAGTTAAGAAGTGGTTCTAATGTAGCATGAGTAATTTCTGAAAGTCTACCCAATAAGAAATACATGAAAAATGTTTTGTCTGTCTTGGAGTGTTCCTAATCCATGTGCTTGGATAGTTGGTAGGAATTGTTCTAATTTAGTTAACCCTATCCATAGATGTGATGCAGGATTTCCAGCAGACCTAGCGTAGGCGACCAGTTTTGCAGTTGTTTGGTTGAGAAGGCATACATCAAAACAAAATTAATTTAAATCAAAGATTATTTCACTCTGTATTTCTTCTAGGGGGGAAGAGCTGCCGGTACTACGTGCCCTTGAGTACGCCCCAGGGGAAAAAACACTTATTTCACTTATTGGTTTTCATTGCCTGGTCCAAACAGCATCTTCGGACTTCCGGGGTGGCGCCTCCGGAAAATGGCGGAATTCCCTTCAAGTTGAAGGGAACCCGCTGCACGGAAGCTTGGGTCCTACCGCTACGGCGCAGCGGGGACCCATAAAAACCACACGCGGATGAAACCCCTGGACGTGGGACTCAGCGGGCCCCCTGAGCGCACACTCCCCAGGTACAGGAGCCCGGCAACGGGCCCGGAGTGGAGGTGCGTGGTGCTGTGAGTCGAATGCTTCTTCGTGCAGCAAAGCCGCACTGCCGTTTCCGGAGAGCGCTGCCTTTTTCCTGGGACAATTTGGCATCTAAAACATCTATCCGTGAGTACCTGATCTTGGAAGAGCTGAATCACTTTTAAGACTGGTGAACAAATAAATAAATTGGACTTGAAATTGAATTTAATTGGGACTTGGAATGAGAAGGTCTAAACAGGAAGTCAACCTTCCGTTCTTTTGTTACGTGAAGAAAGCAAAGACAAAATATACTAAAGCTTGAAAATTAAATTCTGAGAGAACTAGAATTCAACATCTAAGATTTCTGAACCCCCCTTTGACTGCAGGAGAAGAAGGGGGCTGTTTTGGACTTTTTAACCCTGCGGATGTGAGTTTAAAACAAAGTAATTTTCCACCGCCCTGAACCAGGAGCGGGCTGTCAGAACTGACGTTTTGAAGCTTGTCCAGCTCGACAGATAGTTAAAAGAAAGGTAACATTGTGACTCTACTGTTGCCTCTTGAATTTTGAAGGGGGAATTTGTTAAAGTGTATCTGGAAAAGAAAGACTGTTGCTGATGTTTTTTTCCTTTATAAAAAAAAAAAAAGGAACAAAAGGTTTTCCCTCTAGTGGGATTTAGTGAAATTGCAACGCAGAGAGCTTAAAAGTGAAGGACTATAATCGTGGGAAAGAATTTTCTTTGACCCTGAAGGACAATGCTTGTACAAAGGCTTGAACAAATGTTCCTGGAAGGTTTTTCAAAACTAAGTGCCCAGCTGGACCAGATGCGTCAGGAGACGACCTTGAGGACGGAAGTTACCAGAGCACAGCAGCAAGTAAATGGAACTCAGTTAAAATATCTACAAGTATATGAACCTGCTGTAGTGATGGAGGCTTCAGAGATGGAGGGACCTTTGGACCGGCAGGATCAGTCTTTGAACTGGATAAATGAACTTGGGATAAATCAGATTCGGAAAGATGAAATGTGGTTAGATTTGGAAATGGGGGGATGGATTGACCCCCCTTTATATGGTTATCTAGACTTTCCGAGTCTGGTGATGGGCCATCAGAGGATTGGAGTAGTCGGAGCCTCCAAGTTTCAAGGAAACTTGAAGTGGTATTATCTGCTGTCTGGCTTGGACAATGGGCATGGGATGGACTTGTTGCAAAGGGTCAAAAGTATCTTTCTGCTGGAGTACCCACGACTGAAAGGGAAACATCAAGAAGAGCTGCGAAAGGGGCAAGAAAGAGATTTGAGGGCCTCGGACACGAGACAACCAGGTTAAGGAGCCGGACTATTGAGGTTAAAAGGACTGACAATCCCGGGTCCAGGGGAGGGGCGCTGGAAATTGACTGGATTGTGTCTGACTTATTATCTTATTTTATTTTTCTACTTTCCAATATTGGGAACGTCTATAAATGTTTGAAAGATGTTGAATGAAACTATATGGCTTAAGTAATGATTGGTAAATGATTTGCAAAAAGGTAATGATGTAAGAATTTGGTAAATACTGAATATAAGCTTTGAGTTTTAAAGTTTTTATATGACAAGAGGGAAAATAGAATAAGGAAATGTAATGATAGAATGTTATGAAAAAACAGAAAGGATTTGCTGTAAAAATTAAAAATTAAGAAACAAGAGAGGGGAGGAGGAGGAAGTCTAGAAAGGAAGTTAATAGAGATCGTAAATGATTTTATACTTTTGTTTTTCTCTTTTCTTTTTTTCTTTATGGTTGGGTTTTTTCTTTTTTATTTCTTTATCATTTTTGCTTTTTGTATTTTTAATTTTTTTGGAAATTTTTGTTGTTATTCTTTGAAAACTTAATAAATATTAATTTAAAAAAAAAACAAAACAAAACAGCATCTTCATATTTAGTGAAAACTAGCAGTTTTGTGCCAGGTGCAGTGAAGCCTTGGATAGTGTGGCCAAGCCAGGGGAAGCTGCAATAAACACAGTACAACCATTTTGGGATTAAGCAGGTTTATTGGTGCAAGCATTAGGTGTGTATCTTGCATCAATCAGCCTGTCTGCTGCTTGATTATTTAGCATCATTATCTAGAGTTAAGGATCGTCCTATGACGTACATCAGATTGGGGTGACCCTTCCAAAATAACCATTTTGGAAGGGTCATGGCCCATCAGCCGGCATCTGGACAGAAGCACCTTGCCCTGGATCCCTTTAACAGGATACCCTGATTCTTTGGATTCTTTGGCTCCCAACACATACATCCCCCATCCACCCTTGACTAAGGATCCATCTCAGTGCCTTAACTGCCATCAAGTTGTGATAGCTATGAAGTAGGCAAAGCCCCCAGATAGGCCTACTTTGTCTGGAGGCAAATTCCTCTCTGGCCCCGAATACAGCAACCAAATACTTCCAGAGCAAAGTCTTACGCGAGGCCTGTCTGCGTACCCACGGGCAGCCCCTACAACATAACCTGTAGTGCCAGCTAGTGCCAGCTGTGGCTGAGTCCTGGGCATGGCTGACTTTTACAGCTTGGGAGCAGAACAGAGGGAAGACGTTTCCTTTGGTCCACTCCTTAAACTACTCCCCCTAACTCGCCTACAATTGGCTGCAGCCACAGCCAATGAAATGGAAGAGGAATCGATAGCCTACCCTGTGCCGAACCGCAGCCACTGCTCCCCTTCAGCTGGTGGTAAGTGGTCCTTGCCAAATAGAGGAGACCTGGCAGTTGCTTCTGTAACTTCTTTGGCTTTTTCCAAGTGATAGAACTATTGGAATATTCATGCTGTTCTCCTTGGAGTGCTGTAATAATAAGGTCCTAAATAAAACATTCTTTAAAGTGTAGATTTTCTTCACTCTGCCATTTGTACGCATAGAATGTGCTGTCCCCTTTTAATAGGCCTTTGCCCATTTAACGCCTCAAAACTGCTGACAGCTCTGGTCTTTGCTTTCTGCGGTCTAAATTTGATCAGCTATGTTGTACAATTTATCTTGGCTCTCAAAGAGGTTTCATATTAATTTTCACGCTTTATTGCTCCTATGTAATATTCTCCACTGTCTGGTTCTCTAGCTATAGGAACTACTGATACACATGCCATATTCGAAAGGGTCTATAGCCAACAATTAAGGATCTGTGTGTGTGCCTTAAGAAAAATCTGAGCATCTAGTTGTTTCCCTTATCACCTGAAATGATCCCAATATATTTGCTTTTTTTGCCAGATCACATATTGTTTGCTATTTAGTTAATTATTATTATTATTAATAATAATAATAATTCCATACACCTCTCAAGCAATTCACAAAATGCAATAAAAACAGCCTTTAAAAAGTTGAAAAGAACACAGAAAATAGCAGATTACAAAAATAATAGTGAAGAGATGCCCGTGGCAGAGACCTAGTCATCCAGCTGGGAAGAGGGTTTTTTGCTTCAAATGCACAGGTTCTGAAATGCTAGCTTGATTTTTCAGCATATGGGATACTGCATTTTTATAGAGTTCTGAAAAACTGAAAAATTTACTATATGAATGAGAAGAGAGGGAAAGGCTGAATTTCAGAGATATAGAACACCAACTTTTACTGCGAGTTGCTATTAGTGTGGTTAGAATCCAGACTGTGCAGGATGGTGTGTTTGTGTGTGTGATGTCCGCATAACCAATAAATCTGTCATCACCTACTGGCCTCCATTTCCTTTGAAATAAACAAATCACTACGAGACTCTTTGAAGCAGCAGACTTCCAGGAAACACAAAAGTCACTTTTGCTTCTTCCATTGAGATAAAATAGTCAGTAAGTGGAAATGAGCTGCAGCTGAAGGAGTCGGAGGGTTCCTCGCACCTGCTGGAAAGTACAGTAGGTTTCCACACAGCAGGAATTCAAACAAACCTCAGATCATTGCATTTGGCGAAAGTGAACTTGCCTAGCCAAAGGAATGAATTGTAGAGCTTTCAAAACGACTAAAATAAAGCCAATTCCATAGGACCATAGGAAATGTGAAAATGGAAAGGAATCCAAAAGGAAACCCAGCTAGGTCTGTCACTTCCATTGAGCTGGCTGCTCTTTTCTTTACACTGTATTAGAGCCTTCACATATATTTCAGTATCAGACTTATTGGAACAGTCCACAATTTTCTCTGCATAATGATAATAATGTGTTGGCGGTTCTCTAGGTACCTTCACATGCCCATTGGTGCTCTGCATGTTTGGGAAACTATTTTGATGGTTTGTTTTGGGTTCTCCCTTTCTATATGCTTTGTGAAGTTAAATACCTAATTTAGCCACGTTTTCACTGGTTAATATCGCATTACGCAAATGTTTCCAGTAGAGCCAGTTTTGGTTACCTTGTGCTATTTTCATTACAGAATGAAAATGAATTGTAAGTGATACAGTTTCCAAAATTAGTGTTCTGAATGAAAAGCAATCACCTGTTTAGTAATATTCAACCCTTATTTGCAATTGATTTACCATTGAAGTATGGAACACGGTGCTGAATACAGAATTTAGCATCCCGGGAAACTACAAATACATGGGGGAAAGTCAGGTTGCAGTGTTTAACTGTTTGATCAGATGGATTAATTGGTTAAAAACAAGGTGGAGAAATCGAAATTAGAAACAGAATTGTTAGAACCAAAGACTAAGATACTTTCAAGGATGTATAACTTGCTGTTGGAATGGAATACACAAGATGAAATGGTTAAATCGGCTATGATAAGGTGGGCACAGGATATTGGGTATAATATTATGTTTGAGGACTGGGAAAGGCTGTGGAGTAATGGATTGAAATTTACTGCATGTAATGCTTTGAAAGAAAATGTAATGAAAATGATTTATAGATGGTATATGACCCCAGTCAAACTCGCAAAAATTTACCACCTGTCTGATAACAAGTGCTGGAAATGCAAAGAGTGTGAAGGAACGTTCTTTCACCTCTGGTGGACATGCCCTAAAGTGAAGGCGTTCTGGGAAATGATTTATAATGAATTGAAAAAGGTATTTAAATATACTTTCACTAAGAAACCAGAGGCTTTCCTTTTGGGTATTGTCAGCCAAGGGGTGGCAAAGAAGGACCAGACATTTTTATGTATGCAACAACAGCAGCAAGGATACTACTCGCAAAACATTGGAAAACCCAAGATCTACCCACACTGGAAGAATGGCAGATGCAACTGATAGACTATATGCAACTGGCTGAAATGACTGGCAGAATCCGTGACCTGGGAGAAGAGAGAATCGAGGAGGACTGGAAGAAATTTAAGAACTACTTACAAAAACATTGTGATTTGATTGAATGCTGAATAAGATGCTGGACTAAATAACTGAGCACCACTTAACTTAGAAATTTTTAAGGAAACAAGAAAAGTTGTGAAAGTTTAACTCTTTATGAGAACTTTAAGATTATGAAATATCGAAGAGATATAAGAATTTAAATAAGATGATAAATTGCTGACAAAATGTTATAATGATGAAGGTGGGAGCGGGAGATGTGAGGAAGTCTAAAGAAAATGTGAAATTATGTTAAGACGAATGCTATATTGTTTATTACATTTATTCCTATTGTAAAACCCAATAAATTGCTTTAAAAAAAAATAATAATTGGTTAAAAACTTTCATGAGTACCCTGATGAATCAGACTTTTTTTAAAAAAAAAAAAGTTAAATTTTATTTTTAAAAAGTTATTATTTTTTAATATATGTGCTTATAAAAACTGGAGATGGTAAGCTGTGGCTTACCGACTCACTCAGAAGGGAGCACCTCTCCTAAGAAGACAACTATGCCTATAACACACATGTAGCACACCACCACTGACTTTTGTAAAGTCAGCAATAGGCAAGAGAAGATTTCCTTTTTAAAAAGGAAAAAGAATACTTTATACATAACTGAGGCATACTTGCGTTTAAAAATATAACGCTGCCACATCTAGCTTGGCCCATTAGAACACTTTGAAAGACTTGGAATAATTTTTCTAATTAATGTTATAATGGTGTTTTTGCCTTCTTTCTTTGTTCAACTTTATACATTTTACATTTTTAAGTAAGGCACCTAAAGCATTTGATAATGTGAAGCTAAACACTTCATAACCTTCACCTGGTGTTATAACGTAGGTAAATGCAGAATATGTTCATTAACTTTTTTGGTAGCTATCAGTGCAATGCAATCTGTGAAAATGTTGAGGAATGCTTCATGCACATGATTTCATTGCTCTGGCATTTGCTCAATATGTAGCATGTCCATTTGCAAGTTTCTTTGTTCTTTTCTGTTTATTTTTATTTCCACCGAGCATTGCCGTGTTTGCTATAGGCATTTTGAAATACAAATCAAATGATTTAAACATATTTCCAGACCTCTTTAAAATGGCTTGAAAATAAATGTAGAAAAAAAAAAGGAACAAAGAAATCTAAATAAGCACAGGTGCACTTCTCAGGAAGTATGAAAGAGATCCTTTAAAGATTTTGAATCATGTCCTTGGGTGATTTATTTGTGTAACTGCTAAACCACCTTACTGCAGGAAGGAAGAAAAAAATTAAGGACTATTAAACACTTAACATCATATTTTATGAACTGCATGGGGCATTGGACACACAACCACAACAAAGGGTCAGTCACAATTTCAACCAAATGTATAAATGGTGTCTTTTTACAGTTGATGTGCTTAGCCATGCATCTTTTAAGCTGTAAACTGGGCAGCTGTGAAAAATGTCTTTCTTAATCAAACTTTTTATTTGCTTGTTGGGGTATTTTGTTTCTGAGTTAACATTGTATCTGGATTTTATTTTCAAAACCAGTGTATTTAAAGATTTTTTCCCCTTATAATTCAAAATATACCCACCACCAAAGGAGTTGCTTAAAGCGGCTAACAAATAGAAATGCAAACATAAAAACAACGCAATTAAACACACATTTTAAACACAAATGATCGGAAACAGCAGCAAAAAATAAAACAGAAAGAACAGCATGAGAATCAAAAGCTTGTTTTAAAAAAGGAAAGTTTTCTGTTTTCAGTAGAATGCAAATAAATAGCAAGGTGGTCTAACCTCTTGGGGCAGGGAGTTTCACAAATGGGGTGCCAACACAGGAAAGGCCCTCTCATGCATTACTCACAACCTGATCTCAGAAGGGAGCAGACGGGCCATAGAACATTTAGATGGTGGCCAGTGGGGGGGGGAGCCTAGCTTATTTGACCCATGTCTTGAGGTGGCCCTTAACCGAGGCATGACCCTGAAAATCTCAAGCCAACGGTAGGAGTATCAATCAGGAAGCATACCCAATGGCTAAGCCAGAGATTTTCAACCCTTTTGAGCCCACGGCTCCCTTGACCAACTGCATTCTTCCTGCGGCACCCCTGCAGGTTCAGGAGCACAGTTATGTCAGAGCTGGCAGCCTCTCACCCCTTTCGTCTCCTCTCCCCTCTCCTTAGGAATCCTCCAAGCAGCCACCGCTGCCACCTCTGGTCTCAGAGCTGCTCCCACCCTGTCCCAAAGAAAGGTGCCTGGAGCTGGCTGGCTGAGCTCCCTCATTCGCTTGCTTACTCTGAGGCTTCTCAGCTCCTGGCAATCAGCACCCCCTGGTCAGCCCCAGAGGCACTATATGCCTGGGGAGCTTGTAGCCAAGGCTGCTGTAACAAACAGCCACACAAACCTTTGGGAGGCAGAGATGTGAGAGGGCATCAGATGAGAGGGAGGGAAGGAAAGAGAGACAGAGGCCAGTGTTGCTCATGGCACACTGGTTGAAAACCACTGGCCTAAACCAAAGGTTACCTACATCTGTAATCAATAAAGTGGTGGCCATTTTCAACCCCAGAACATTGTTGTGTCATTCTGTTCACTGGTTATTGCCTTCCCCCTCCCCCACCACCTGGGCATCCTGCGTTTGGGTCTGCAAGCTTGTTTAAAAAGGAAAGTTTTCAATTTCCAGAAGGATTCAAATACAGTGGTACCTCGGGTTACAGGCGCTTCAGGTTACAGACTCTGCTAACCCAGAAATAGTACCTTGGGTTAAGAACTTTGCTTCAGGATGAGAACAGAAATCGTGCTCCAGCAGCGCAGTGGCAGCGGGAGGCCCCATTAGCTAAACTGGTACTTCAGGTTAAGAACAGTTTCAGGTTAAGAACAGACCTCCAGAACAAATTAAGTTCTTAACCTGAGGTACCACTGTAAGTAAAAACACTCCTGTCTACAGTTCACACCTGGACAAGTGTGGTGTTTTAAATTGAGTGCAATCCCAGTCAGAACAGGCTGGACTGGTAGCCTCCTGACAAACAAGCCTGTCTTAATTTAATTTTTGTCAAAAATTAAGCCCTCATCACAAAATGGTCCATCTCTCAACCTCGTGTCAGCAAGGTGGTCCAGAAGGATACCATGGTTGATGGTAGTTTACTGAATGGTCCCGTAGAACCATTAGAGGCACACTCCCACACCTAGCTCCTGGATAGGAGGCTATGGTTATGTGGATAAGAATGAAAGATTGCACAGCTATGTAATTCATTCCTGAGTATATGTTGCTAGAAGCCAAACTATCTCTAATCCCAGACACACAAAGGCCAATTGTGATTATTCACAGGCAAAAGAAACACGCTTCTTTGTTATTGCACCTTCATACGACCTGAGGCCAAGTCTTGGTTCTAGAACTAAACGGAAAAATTTCTCCATTTTTCAATGAATACAGAGAGGAGATCTGAGAGTTGGCGATATTGCCTGGCAGACCTCTGTTGTTCTTATTATCAGCAGGAACTTTCTCAGCATTTGTGACTTCATTTCCAGATGTGTGTTTAAGTAATGAAGCCAACCCATAGTAAATCCTAATTACAGGTGCTGGGCATATGTGCAGAGAGACATGGCATTCAATAACTTAGAAAAACGAGACTTCTTTTGTGTCATGGATATAAAGTAGACTGTAGTTGCCACAGAACTTCAGAAAACTTCAAGAGTAGGCATCCAGCATCAAGAATCAAGGCCTTTCCTTCTATGTTTACCTCTTGCTTTTTCCTCTTGATTTCTGCTAGTGGAAGAATCTGAGAGCATGTTTGGTTTCGATATAAAAGCCACAAAGAAACAAGAAGCTGAATTATCTCCAGCACTTCAGCAGTTGGATAACTTGGGGAAAGGAGTTTGTAGAGATTCAGTTAGCAGGATTTCATAATGAATAGATTTGAGAGGAAGGACATTTCCATAGATGTCTGTTCATCCTTCTACTCATTGGAATGATGAGATCAATATGTGCCTACTAAAAAGTAGGATAAGGAGAAATACAGATGGCCTTCATACACCAGAGCTACAAAGTCTCTGCCTTTCTGATCAGGATTCTGCCAAGGAGTAAATGGATCTTGGCCATGAAAGATGACAATCAGTAAAGATATTTTTAAATCTTAATTAGGAAACAGATTTGAATGACATTTTCAAATTCAGCCTTCTTTCTATACCCTTTAATCAAAGGAAAGGAAATGGTTTCCTTAGAAACATATTCCTGCACTATTTCAGAGTACCTTGTCTGTAGCTGAAAACTGTTTCTCTATGGCTGTGTTCACACAAGCATGTTTATCACTCAAGGGCTGCACACACTAAACCATAGCAGAACATGTTCACAAATTTAGGTCTCATGTGCTCCTGTCTTCCACCATGGCCATGAGATTGGAAGCTCCTACTTCCATTTTCAATAAACCATGGTTTCTTGTTATTCCTTTTCTCCAAACCATTATGTCTTGCTATCTCTAAACCAGTAATTATTGGAAAGACTAAATATAATCAATTGAAATTGGCTATGATTGTTAACCACAGTTTGAAGTTGTTCTATTTCAGGAAACCATAGTTGACACTAACCACAGTTTGTCTGTGTTCAGGCATAATGAGGAACCATGACCAGTTGAAACAGAAGCAAAAGCTTCCTAATGATCATGTCAGAGGAGGGGAAGGAAAGCATGCATGAGCTGGTCTTGCGCACATAACATTAAATCAGTGTTACATACAAACTTGACTTCTGACTACACTGCCAAGTGACAACTTGCGTGTGAAGCAGCCATAATACTCCAAACACCAGAAAGCTTTCATGTCACCTAGATAATCTCAAAGGCTGTCTTTCCAGTGCAGGCAATTCATCTACTAAGCTACATCTAAAGAATGATTTCTACATTGAAATAAATTATGTGCATGCCCCCCCCAATCTTTTATTGTTTTCTAAAGCATATAGGCTAAGAACTCAGAATATGCCAAAATACATGCAAGAGAAAAAAAATTAACAAAATATTGCAATTAAAGATAAAAATATTTACAAATGGTTTGTTTTTGAGTTACAGACCAACAATTAATAAAAGCCATACCCTTTCAAAGTGTTTTGTGTTTTGTTTAATCTTTCCTCATACTGATGTAATTCATCAATTTCACCATCTAGCAATTTTCCAAGAATTTCACCACTCAGAAATGAAAAGTAGACCTAGGCCATTGCAATTATTTCTTTTCCAGAAATTATGAGATTTCTGTTACTTAAACGCCCAACATAGTATGGATTGGACTGAAAATAATATAGAAAAGCAGAAACAATAAATTTCATATATAATTTGTTTCTCAAAAAACTTCTGCTCTAATATGGTCACACCTTCAGCATTTATTGTGTGTCTCTGTATACGCAGAACCACACATCTGCACAGAGCTGCCAGTGTATTGAAAAGACTTGAGGAATCTTATGTCTGCAGATTCTTATAAAACAAAACCTTATAGTATGTCTGCAGATTCTTACGTGGCAAAGATATGGGTCATCATGGGTCCTTTGCATTGACTTGTTTTTGCTACTTCCAAAGATTTAAAGATATGTTACCTAATATTTATTTGAGGGAACAAATACAGTACAGTTCTGTTTGTCACATCTCGGCTTCTACAAAAAGTAGAATAAAACGTTGGCTTTTTCGTTGATTGGTAGGTAAGGATGCCTGATGCCTCATAGAGATATAAGCACACATAGACTGATTCAGTTCTCATGAACCATGAGCTATTGACAAGATTTCTTCCTGCTTTACTACTCGTGGTTTGTCCGGAGAGACAAACCAAAACCCTGGGTTTCAATATAATGCTAATCCAAACCTTGGCTTGGCTACAGGAATGCCGCACCAGCAGAGGAAGAACAAAGCAGCTGGGCACTCGCCAATTCATGGTTAGCCATAGCCATAGCTTAGTTAAGCGGTAAATGCAAACTGGGCCATTGTTTTTGCATTTTTGAAAGACCTACACTGGCTCCCAGTACGTTTCCGAGCACAATTCAAAGTGTTGGTGCTGACCTTTAAAGCCCTAAACTGCCTCGGTCCAATATACCTGAAGGAGCGTCTCCACCTCCATCATTCTGCCTGGACACTGAGGTCCAGTGCCAAGGGCCTTCTGACGGTTCCCTCGATGCGAGAAGCCAAGTTACAGGGAACCAGGCAGAGGGCCTTCTCGGTAGTGGCACCCGCCCTGTGGAACGCCCTCCTACCAGATGTCAAAGAGAAAAATAACTACCAAACTTTTAGAAGACATCTAAAGGCAGCCCTGTTTAGGGAAGCTTTTAATGTTTAATAGGTTACTGTATTTTAGTGTTTGTTGGAAGCCGCCCAGAGTGGCTGGGGAAACCCAGCCAGATGGGCAGGGTATAAATAAATATTATTATTATTATTATTATTATTATTATTATTATTATTATTTTGCTGTGCTTCCTTGCAAGTTTTAAAAACCAGCAACACAGTAACTTATAATGTTCTTCTTTAATCCACAGAGAAGCACGAAGATGTTTGTAACTATCTTAAATCAAATCGTATTTGGTAGAGAGTAAGGGTAGGGAACCTGTCATCCTGCACATGTACTTCATTTCCTATCACCTTGACCAGCACTGGCCAGTGATTAAGGATGATGGGAGTTGTAGCCCACCAACATCCGAACAGCCATAGGTTCTGCTTCTCTGCTATAGAGAATTCAAAGATTTTATCTCACTCACACTTGAAAGTTAGGTAATGAGGCTTAATAGATTAAGATTTCTTTTTTTACAAGAAGCCTTTAACCTTTTCTATTTATTGTGAGTCATTCAAAATGCTATCGGTCTAGTTCCCAGATTCCCATTACATCAGTTTACTGTGAGAACATCTCTGAACTGCATCACCATCCATTTTTTCCCTGGATTTCATAAAAGTTTTGGGCAATGGGTTGCATTAGGAAGCCAGGTGTCCAACTTTACAGGAGATAGTCCTGGATGTACATCTTGCACAACATGCCTGCATTAAGTTTATGTTTCTAGTTCTGGATCTGACAATGTATCACAGAGAAAAGCACTGAAGTAAGGTGGAGTGAAGTAAAAGTTTTGTTTGTGGTGTTTATCTGTGATAACATATTCACACATGCCAATCACCAGTTGTCAGATGTAGAACATATGTGCACAATCCCAGAATGTTGAGTGAACTGATGATAGGACTTCAGGTGGTGTGTGTGTATATATATATATATATATATATATATGTGTGTGTGTGTGTGTGTGTGTGTGTGTGTTTGTGTGCATGTGTGTGGCTGGCCCTAAGTGAAGGCAAAACTATTAACTTTTAACTCCAATCCCTTACCAGGGTTTTCTGTTTTAACGTTTCCCAATCTTAATATTTCCTTTTTCAACAGTTCTGAATGAACAAAAATCTGGGGTTATTTTTCTTCCACAAATGACAATTTTCAGATGGGGGTGGGGGTGGAGAATGTAACATTTCTTTTTAAAAAAACAGATTAGGAAGGGCCAAGGGGATGTTTTGCCTTACCATTCCACTCATAAATGGTGGAATACTAGGAATATAAGTAATCTGTTTATTCATAGCCTTGTTTACATCTGCAAAAGGAGTCGTTGCTACATATCTTCGTTTCTCCAGAGGCCTATAAATAATGCACAAAGCCAAGTACAATCACTCAGCATTGTGGAAGTAGTATTAAAATTCAAACAAATCTTTAAACAAACTTTAGAGTTAGTTGGGTGGCAGCAGGGTGTGGGAGTGAGAGAAGGAAAAGGAATTATCCATAGGTCTTGCTAATTTATGCACAACACCGTGCATTCCAAAGAAAAAATCAGGCTTTCGAACTTAGGCGGCTGAATGAAAAAAGAGACTTGCACGGAAAGTGCACTATTGCCTGAAAATATCATTTACATTTAATCTCAAGGTCGTAGGTTTGATCCCTATGTTGGGAGAAACACTCCTGCATTGCAGAGGGTTGAACTAAATGACCCTCGTGGTCCCTTCCAACTGTGATTCCATAGAGTTGCTTAACATAGCAAAGTGGTAGAACACTTGCTTTGCATGTTAAGTAGGGGTGGCAAACCTCAGAGCCAGGGTCCAAAGGTGGTCCTCCAGGCTTTTCTATCCTACCTTCATGACCATGTCCCCTTCCCAGGCCACACCCTCTTTCCCAAGGGCATATTGGCCCAAGGGGAGGATACAATGACATATGATGCAGCAACTTTGCTGAAGCGAAGCAGGTTCTATCACAGAATCATAGACTTGGAAGGGACTCCAAGGTTCATCTCCTCCAACTCCCTGCAATGCAGGAATCACAGTTAAAGAATCGCTGACAGTTGCGCGGCAAGTTCCCGCCCCCCAAGGCGGAAATAATGATGCATGACACAATTATTAAGGTTAAAGGGCTAAAAAAAAGGCCGCAACTTTATTAGTTACAGGTGATGAGCGGTATTGGCTTAGGCATTGGTCCTAACTGACTATATCCAACTTCAGCCCGTCCGCTTGAAGTCCGGGAAGGGTTAACCACCAGTAGAGGGAATCCTGCTGATGCACACCTGCTGATGTCACCGATGGGGGCGTGCCTTAGGCCCTCACTCCTTAGGCTTCGGACAGGGCCACGCCCCCCGGAATCCTTTATTGGACTACCCTTCAATATGCGGGGTGCCAAAGAGGGCAGACCATGCCCCCAGAGCCAGCTGATTGGCTGGCCAGGTGGTGACGCAGCCAGGAATCCCCCTAATCGTGCGGGGGCTGGGCTGAAGGGCGGAAGTGGCTATGGCCATCCAACCCAAGAACATTTCTCAGTCTTTTCCATGCAGAGGACTTATTACTTCCTTGTTCTTCCTCTTGCTCTAAACATAGCCGAGAAAAAGGTGGTCTATAGATGTAATAAACACACAGAGAGACACAAATAATATTTACACCTACATTTATCTATAGAGAGATAATCTTTTTAATTTGTGAGCTTGGGGTGGGGTTTGATGCTTCATTCCAAAGCTCCCTTTATGTCTTTGCATTGCTTGTCATGGTCTTTAGAGGGCTATGTCATATGAGTAGGGGTGTATTTTGGTCACTTTGGAACACTCCAGCTACCCAATGGAGGGGGACATAGTGGGGCAGAATTAGTGGGACAAGCTGAGAAAATATAGTGGAAGTGCTTTGGATCTGAGATTGCCAGTTGCATCTTTCAGAGTGAAGGTGCACAGTTGAGGACAGCATTGTTGTGTATAATAATAATAATAATAATAATAATAATAATATCTTGCCCCTCTGGCTGGGTTACCCCAGCCACTCTGGATGGCTTACAGCATATCTAAAAACATAAAAACATCAAGCATCAAAAACCTCCTGATACAGGGCTGCCTTCAGGTGTCTTCTAAAAGTTGTGTCATTCTTTTTACGGAATCTCTGCTAAGCTCAGAAGACATAGGCACATGAGACAAAGCCATGTAAAAAAACTGAGCGGAGGAGTTTTTGCTCTTTAGTGGAAATCTGAGTTAGCTGATCTCCTGTGAATCTTAGATCCACAGGTGACAGCAGCTGGACACAAATCCACATAAAGTTGTTCCTTTTATTTTGTCAGTCTAAATTTTAGGGTTGCAAATCACAGTTTTCATTGTACAGCTCACTGATCTTGCAATTCATAAATTTATTACATATTTGTGTAATGTTGGGTATCTCTCCCATCAACTAAAATTCTACCCAGCGTCCCAAGAAAAATGAAATAGAGGAGTGGTTAGGCTTGCTGCTTCTGGCCATTTGCATTGTGGGCAGAGATTATAGCCTGCAGATCAGAGCCCTGAAGTATTAGGCAGGACTGAAGAACAGCCTTTCTCAGGAAAATGTCTTCTTGGGGCCATGTAATGTGGCTGGGCCTTGAACACTCTGGACAGCTTTGCTGTAGGCTCCAGGCCTGTGGATCTGTGAGGCAGGCTAAGCAAACCTCTTGGCGAATATAATGAACTGGTCAGCAGCTCTGATGACTTATTTACATGATAAGTCATCCTGGAATAACCCTTTTTAACTTACTCAGCTCTAATTTGTTGACATATTTTACTAGCTAATCAAAAGCTGGAGTGAGTTTAAAGAGAGTAAGATGTGGGTTGAATGACCCTAATGTGGGTTGATTGGTGCTGTGCCAAATCATGATTTATGGTTCTGATGAGTGATTCAGATGAGCTATTTGCCACATGAAAGGTACAATCTAGGCCGAAAGAGAAAGCAACTCATCAAGTGCAGAAGCAGTTGTGTAAATCTGTTCTGAAACAGTACCAGCCCTGGATAGCCCTCAGATTAACATGACAAAACTTTCAATTAACCAAACAGCCATCTGCACAATTGAAATTCACAGTGCCTCCATAGGATTCCATAGGACTCCATAGGATTCCTGCACTTTGGCAGCTAAGTTAACCCCGAGTTGCTTGTGTTAACCGGAATGCATGAGATACACATGTACAGTAATTCACACGGGTCTTTACAGGTACTGTACAGACATTAAATATGAATCAAGTTACTTGGGAGATAGGTCTTTATATTTTTAAAAAGTCTGCACATGGTTTGTCAGGAGGACAATCCCATAGCTAATTCATATTAAAATTTGAGATTCATGACTGTTTGTTTGATTATGATTCACTGTTGCCACATTGGCAGGGGTACCTAGAGATAGTTCGAATCGGCCCAAGGGGGTGAGCTCCTTTTGCTCTGTTCCAGCTGCTGCCAACCTAGCAGTTCGAAAGCATGCCAGTGCAAATAGATAAATAGGTACCACTGCAGCGGGAAGGTAAACGGCGTTTCCGTACGCTCTGGTTTCTGTCACAGTGTTCCATTGCACCAGAAGTGGTTTAGTCATGCTGGCCACATGACCCGGAAAGCTGTCTGTGGACAAACGCCAGCTCCCTCAACCTGAAAGCGAGATGAGCGCCGCAACCCCATAGTTGCCTTTGACTAGGGGTCCTTTACCTTTACCTAGTACCCAGAGGGATGTGCAGAGGGACAATGCTAAACTCTTTCTGGAAAAAAAAGTTAAGAAATCTTCCAATAAGAGCCAAATGGACAAATCTGTAGCATGATTGATCTGGTAGAAGTTTGCAATTAACAAAAATTGATGCTAGTTATTACTTTTGGAGTATATATTTTGTAAATTATACTTGATTTAGCATTTATGTATTAGTATATTGCTTTCTGCAAAATTTCAGAGCATCTTAACAGTAGATGAGTGTGTTTGTTTGCTTTTTTAACTTTACTGTACTTGCCAGAGAAGAATTTGCTTTCAATGCCTTTGCAGTATAGATTACAATTGACTATACTAGGAAAATAAAGGATGCACATGATATAAAAACAAATGCAAATCTGGATTTAATAACTACCAAAAAGTTTTTCCTATGGGAAAGCTGTAAATGAGAATGTCAATAGAACAAACTTTCTCTTCTGATTAAGATAGGGGTACGTCATCGGCTGCTTATGATCAGCTACTAATATTTTCAGGATCTCTCTATTGTGCCCCAAAATGGATGTATATCTCCTTCTCTGCCTCATGGTACACAATGGGATGAGGGAAAGGGAAGAGAAAAGCATCACATACTGAATAAGGTAGAGTTTTATTCCAATGCTAATTTTCTTTCAAATTTTATTCTCTCGCTCATTATGCTGCTTTAAATGAGCATTTTATATTTGACTTCCTTTAGTAATGTTTTATTTTGAAATGTTGAAGATATTTTAGTTTCCTTTTAATTATGTTGCTTTGAATGTAAACATTGTATTTGGCTTTCTTCATTATTGTTTTATTCTGGGTTGTTTTATTTGATGTTCTAATATCGGTTGTATACTGCTTTGAGCGTTTTTTTCTTAAACATATAGAAATTAAATGAATAATAACAATAACAACAATAATAATAAGAGTTTGGCTTCTATCCAAAACATCCCCAATTCTCAGGGCAGTTCTGATCATTATCCTTTTTTTCCTTACAATCTTTTTGTTTTTAATGAGATTCCACTTACAATTTGGGAAATGACTGCATGATTTGAAGTGTGCATTTTACAAACATACATGTTCTTCAAACATGATGCCTACATATGGACATTTGGGGCTCTTGGTGGGGTATAGGCATGTCTGGAGGGCGTTCATGGGGTATATGCTATCTTGTTCCTCTATTGAGCCTAGAAACAAGTTTGTGAGGTTATCATTCAATCTGAGCCAAATAAGAGGTAATTTGCTATAAGGAAGGTATCAAGACATTACATTTAGCATCGACATGTATAGGACTGCAATGCTGAAATCCCAGTCTATTCATTAGAGTTATCTGTCTCATAGTTGCAGGTAGTCTTTTTTGTGGGGGGAAACCCCCCAAAAATGTGTGACTCTTTGACATGAACATGGGCAATAAAATCTTTTTTTCAGATGTTTTAACTCTTAATATTTTACAGCCCCTTTTTATTTTGCCTTCTCCTAAAAGACAGGTAATTCCATTTAATTGCAGGTGGGAAAGCACTTTCCACTGTTCCTTTTCTTTTATGGTGAGTGTTGCACTTCGTGATGATGCTGTAAAAGTAAACTGTGAATGAAATAGTAGAATACACATACACTGGCAGCCCTGTGGAGTCTGAAAAAAGGAAGAAAAACAGATAACGTCTGGTTATTTACTAACCTGCATTTATGAGCACAGCTGGCCCTTTTAGGTTTCGTTTTAATGCTTTCTGAGGGGTAGTAAGATATATAAAATATGTGGCTAGAGCACATGTAGCGGACATAGGTGCACATATATGATAAACCAGAGAAGGCACTATTCTTCCTAACACTATTACAGAGGTTAGCTTGGATTCAACAGACGAAATCAGAAAGAAAGAAAGAAAGAAAGAAAGTGAGAGAGAGAAAGAAAGAAAGAAAGAAAGAAAGAAAGAAAGAGGATTTAGAAAGCAAACAGACAACTTGAGTCTGGACCATGAAATGGGAAATGATTTGTGAATGCATGGTTAAGCTAGATACTCTGTATGCTACTAATGTGTAATATGAGCTTTTGAAAACACACACCAGGCAAAACTGCTTACAATAGAGATGGAGAAAGCAAAGCGATGAGGAAATGTTGGATAATAGTCAGACCATTCATGCTTAATTGCTGCTACAATAGTCTCCTCTGCGTTGTTGCTTCTTTCAGACTTTGGGCTTCCATAAGAACAGCCCTGTAGCCGCCCTTCCAAGTTGGAGCAGCCACATTTCTTGGTGAAGCATTTGTGCGTGCTCATAGTACCAGCCCATCTCCTTCACTTTCCTGGTGGAGAGGATGTGAGGACCAGGCCAGGGGAAGGAAAAAAGAGTGACCTTCCCTCTCACTCCTACATGCAAATAGGTTGCTATATAAAGGGCTTTATAAACTTTATTAACAGAAATTTTAGTACAAACACCAGGAATTAAATGACTGGCATAATTTTGTGTTTCATAAGAAAAAGGATGTTAAGGATACAATGAACAAGAGAATATCAGGAGGTTCTTTTTCATGCCATATAGACATTGTTGAAATATAGACCATGGATCTAGCATGTTTGTGAAAGCCACTTGATTTTTCAAGTGCTTTTCACAGATTTGGTTGGAAATTTCAACAAACATTGCAGAAAACTGCATCAGCTGATGCAGAATACCCTAACCATTCATGTTTCTGAAAGCATTCTTGTTGGAAAGTCCTGTTCCCTCACTGTTCTCTGTGAGTGAAGTCTAATGTAATGTATTGGCTCCTCCTTCCCAGAGATCCCCAGAAATATCAGGCTCAAAAGCTTGAGTTTGCCTATAGATCCAGTCCTTTCTTGCCTGCAGTCTGCCCTTATCTATGTACTGAACCTCTTTGCTGGATTAGGTATTTCAGTTTTACATTCCACCAGAAAAACCAACATGTCTATACTACAAGTTTAAGGAAGGAGGAGGAGTAGCATGAGGCATAACTGCTGAAGACTTGAGTCAAATCCCTTCTCCAAAACTACTAGTTGCACTGGGAAGAAATGGTGTCAATAGTGGAATTTCCCCCCAGTGCAAATAACAGTCTGAAAGGAAGGATTTTCCTTAGGACTTTGCAAAGAGAGAAAAGTGTTACATCCCCTGCCCCGTGCCTGTGGCGATCCTGTTAATTATCACCCACCCCCCAAAGCAGGTGCCACGTGCTTTTTTATTTTCCAATGTGCAGGTTAAATGCAAAGTGGCATTTTACATCATGTTTACTTTGGCCCTCAGAGGCAATTTTAAAAGGTGTGCATCCTGAAAGCTCTTTGCTGCTTTCAGTGGTAGACCCAGTTTCTTTCTTCTTAACTCTAATTTTCCTCTCTTTTTTCATTTTGTGAACCTACTCAAAGCCCATATCTGTCAAAGATCAGGTGGAATAAAGGGTCCCAATTTTAAGGACATTTTAATAAAAAGACAGATAGATGTACCCTAACTGCTATCTAAACCAATAGAACCACAGAGTGGCACAACAAAGAAGTGATCTGTGAGATTGTATTCCTCATAAACAAGAGCAGAGAGTTGCAGGTGCAGAGGAACTCAGGAGCAAGGCAGATTTAGCTGCCAGCTAGTCTTAAGCAGAAGCAAGTATATAAACAAAAGGAAGTGCTTCTTCACATAGCACCATGGCTATACTATGGAATCTGCTACCATAGGATGTTGTAATGGCTGCCATCTTGAATGGTTTTATAATGGAGATTAGATAGTCATGGAGGGTATGTCTCTCAATGGCCACTAAGAACGAATGCTCTGTATTACTTCAGTAACCAGAGGCAGCATGCCTGCAAATACCTCTTGCTGTGGAGCTCAAGTGGGGAGTGTCTTTGAGTTCATGTTCTGCTTGTTTAAAGAGAATGCTTTTCAACATTAGTAGTAACTGATTGTCATCTTTCATATTTTGATGTGCTTTTAATCACTGCTGAAATATTTTATGTTAAGTAGTTTATAAATTATTAAAACAAAATAAAGGGAACCCACAGATGGGGTGGAATAGTATTGGCAGTGAAGCTTGTGACACCCTCTTTCATAGCTTCCCTCCTTGCTGTTAACCCTGGGATTGGCGCTTTCTGTGTGGAACGATGTGGACAGAAACCATTAGATTTATGGATACTTCCTTAGAGATGATGCAATTTTTTTCTTCTAATGAGCCAGTTTGATTGCTCTCCCCATAACCTTTCTATGACCTGCACAGCCAATTCCAAGCAAGGATTCCAGTTCAAATGGATGAGTTCTGAATAAATTGATAGGTTACAAATGGAAAATTAATTTGGAAATCAATCATGTGCATTCACAACTAAAACAAAAGAGTTTAATTCATTCATAGCCTCCTTCCATTTATTTACTGCTTAACATGCTGTCGGTCATAAGCAAGTGTTTAAGAGGAGCAGAATACTATATGATTTTGAGAAAACCCACCAGCCTAGATTGTGAATGTTGCTGCTGCCATTCCTGGTGACTCCAAGAACCATCATTCTGACCATTGGAGCCTTAGAGCTCACAATGAAGCCACTTTATGTCTCCTTTCTTGGGTGTTTCATCTTGCAAAGAATTAGGACTGAGCTGTGCAATATTCAGTCCCATCTTTGCTGTCGTATAGCACTGATGCTTTTGAGCACAACTGATTTGCCGATACAAAACTGCCATTGTCCTTTGCAAAATGCAACCTCAAGAGCTGCCTTTCTACAGAACAAAAAGGAAAAAGTGAAAAAGTAATAAAGCCATAAAGAAACTCAACCTGCCTTAAACTTTGTGAGCTTTTCAATTTTATTGCTAAGTATGGAAAACTTAAAGCCTACATTCCTTGGCTTACATGCAAGCTATTTATTATTTTTGGTCAGATGGGAGCTTGTGCATTTGTGGATGGGGAAGAAATGGAAACTTGAAAGCCAGCAAAGTCTGAGTTAACATGCACACTCGTATTTGTGGAGAGGAGGGCTCTTCATAACAGTCTAAGAAAGTTAATTTTAAGAAAATAAGAGACCTTTCTTATGAATGTAGACAAAGAAAGTTTAGAACAACTCTGAAAAGGGTGGGTGGATTCTCACTCCATATCCAAATATATACAGACAAACCAGTGGTTGTAGAGGACACCACCTGGCATGTTCCGACAGATTATTCTAATGTGGGTTTAGTGTTGGTGAACCAAATTAGAATGAGTGCATGTGACAAATGATTCAGAGGCTACTTTATCACCAATTGTAATGTGAGGAAGCAAGGACGGCACAAAGCAATCTCGACAACTGGTCCTCCAACCAACAGGCAGAGTTTTGTGAACAGAGAAGTACAACCTATTGAACTGATAGGTCTGATGCCTTCGTTACATAACTTTTCTCTCAGGCATATGGCTCATTAAACAAACTATGGCTCTCTCTCTCTCTCTCTCTCTCTCTCTCTGTGTGTGTGTGTGTGTGTAGTATTGTTTTTATGTGTCACTATGCTATGTATTTTTGACTCTGGAAGTTGTGCCGTTGATATCTGCATCTAAATGGCAGAAGGGTTATTGTGAATGGTGGCGACCAAGCACAGTGGTACCTCGGGTTAAGAACTTAATTCATTCTGGAGGTCCATTCTTAACCTGAAACTGTTCTTAACCTGAAGCACCACTTTAGCTAATGGGGCCTCCTGCTGCTGCCACACGATTTCTGTTCTCATCCTGAAGCAAAGTTCTTAACCCAAGGTACTATTTCTGGGTTAACAGAGTCTGTAACCTGAAGCGTCTGTAACCTGAAGTGTTTGTAACCCGAGGTACCACTGTACTCTGGTTTAATCTTCTCATAATCATTACCATAATCTATTTTCTATATACTTTACTTTTTCATATATATTTAAAAGGTTGAATATTTCCCTAGCAATTGAAGGACCTGGTGCTCCTTATATTAAAAGAAGCTGTATGTCCCTCTGCAAATAATTGCAACCTTTCTCCCTTACTATACTAGTTAAATTTAAGATCCTCTCTGGGTGTTGAAAGAGAAAACAATGCTTGGAAGCAAGTGTGCATGTTTTTCCATACTTCCTGTTTGTCTTCTTGAGTTAGCTTAATCACAAAAATCCCCAAAAGTTTTACAGAACTAAAAGCTATCAAACTAAGCATCACCTGATCATTCATCTGCATTTTATGAAATATATAGCAGCGAGTGTGGAGAACAATACAAGCTTTACATAATGCTTTCCTTTAACCTCAGGTGTTATATACCATATGTTAATACTTAAAGTATTATGTGGGAAAAGGGAGTGCATTATGGGGCCCTTTCAGATCCCCCCCCCTTTGCAGCTACACCTACCATTTGGCATAGGATACAGGCAGCAGAGGAAAACTCGAGGGGGGGTTGCCTCAGTTGCAGCAGCTGCAAAACAGATGGGAAGCTGACGTGAAATCTGCCAGAAATCTCCTCTAGGTTTTCCACCCATTTTCCACCAAAGAGAAAACAAATCTAGGTGATATTATGAATATAGATCCCAAGCTCAAGATGGGATGGAATCTCTTAATCCTGGCTGTTAGAAAAGTGGAAAATAAATTCCTGCAAAAAATAAAACAAAATACTGCTTTGGGAATCAAAACAATCAAACTTCACAGAGACAACATACCTAAAGAGTATCCAGAACAAGTTGATTTTAATAGAAAACAACAGGGAAAGAGTTGCACATAACATAACACGAGGCCATGAAATGAAGGACAGGAACCAGTCAAATGTATGCAGGAGTTTAAAAATCATACATCTGCTAAATGCACATTTCCCCCATAGCTTGTAATTGCATGGCATTCTTTGCTGTTCATTCAGTACAAAAAATTATTTATCCAAGTGAAATTCTGCCATTATTATTATTGCTATCAGGTATGTGAACCATATTAATGGGGCTTGTGAGTCTCTCTGGGTTTAGCCAGAGGTAGCTTAGGCTGCTCATATAGCAGAGATGGGGAAGGAACCTGTGGCCCTCTGGATGTTGCTGAACTCAGATCGCACCCCCCAGCTCCACCCCCCAGGATACCTGGCCATGCAGAAATTGCATAGCTGGTGTAATGATATTGCTAAACACCACATTAGCATTAAGATTTTATTTTATTTTATTATGTCACAAAGCCAGCTGAAGCATTGTCCTAACTCAGGAACGGTGCTGGAAAGCTGAACACATCTCTTCCTCTTTGCAAATCTTCCTGAAAATTAGAGTTCTTTTCACAGGAGCCAAAGATGTTTGTGAAAAGTGACTCCCTTTGCAGTTTAGACCTGTATCAAAGGATGAAACCAAAGGGTCGTGGAAAAGATGGCATTTTGGGAAGTTAATTGAAGAAACAGAGAAGTTTTGTGTTGTGAGGCAGGGGAAGCAAAGAGTCTTGGATATATCATGTTTTGAAGTCCACTCTTTTTAGAGCGTTCTCTCGAAGAATCTCAAGCAGACATCTTGCACATCCCTGTAAGTACTGTAGGTCTGTGAAGTTCTGCGTAACACAATAGAAGTAGTTAAGTGGGACTGCAACTTGATAGAAAGCCAGATAATTGTGGAAACGCAGTCACTAAAAGTTTTATAATTCTGTTACATAAGCGTTGTTACCAGGACTTTGTGGTTAATGTCTAACATTTCTATGTACCTTTCCAATTTTAGAATTTATTTTGTTTGTATTAGCCTTATATATGCCCTTCTTCTCTTGCCGTATTGAATTTTACAATGTGTTAAAGTAGGCAGAAAATTTTAAATTAAAGTAAATATAGTTAAAAAATTTAACAGCCCAAAACATTCACAAGAATAACTCATTTCAATAAGGTCATAGATTAGTCAGTGTTTAATATGCTGAGCATAGAAAATAATGTTTTCGGTATGGTCAGCAGCCGTTAGAGATAACCAGTTTTATTCAGGAATTTACTGGCTGGTCTTTGGCAAATTATAATCTCACCCTAATCAGTGCAACCAATGCAACAATAGTGGTATATCTCACAGGATAATGCAGTAGCTTCCACATTTAAAGTGAATGATAATTTGTTCTACAGTGATAATGTTTCTCCACCACAGAACTTTGTGAGAGCAACTAGCAGCAAGAAAATATGTGTTAATATATTTTACGTCTGCTAGATATTGCGGAAGATTTTCCTTTTCTTGTTTTATCGAGACTAGATAGTGATAGATAAATTTAAAAGAGGTAGCTGTAACTGTGTGTCGATGCGACGATTATTTGTTTTTTCATGAAACAGAGACCAGTTTGGATTCTACCATTAGTCAGTGTTTAGCAATAATTTATGCAAGATATTTTACTCTACTCCAGACATTTCATTGTGTCACAACATAGCCCCATAAAGCAAATGAGAGACTAGGAAGCCAACAAACGATGAGGCTGGGCAAAACAGCCTCACCACAGTTCAGCTGGGAGGCCTTTGCCAAGAGCAGATGCCGTATGACACACGTACATTCAGTGATATGCAATAAAACTGCAACCCAGACTTTACCCATATGCCAGTCTGCCAAGGAAAGCTACTGCTGCTGATAGAAGCACTGCTGCCAAAAAGGTTTTACGGCATAGTTTCTATCCAGTAATGGCAAGAATGAATAGCGAATCTTCCCCTGTTGCTTAGGTCTCGTGCAAGATCTTTCTGGCTAACAAAATGTGACCAGCTATGCAACTCAGTTTAATAGTCTTGCGTGCAATATGCAAAGCGTTTTTCAGTGACAACCAAACCACTCAAACTGTAGTAACTGTCCAACTAGCAGTTTATTTATCATTGAGAAAATGCTTCAGACTTGCAAAGCTATCACCAGCCACGTAGCCTTCCCAAACAAGCAGTTCACGCAAGATGCTGAAAAGTGTGCAATGCTGTGCAGGGGGGTAGGTGGCAGAGCTGGCCAGGGTGGATTTGATTTAAATCAAATCAATTTAAATCATGATTTAAATCACGAGTCAGACTTGATTTAAACAATTTTACAGAAAGACTCACTCTTGCTGGTGTAATCTTGATATTTACAACCAGAGGAAGGTTTCATTTTTGGAATAATAAATTTTCAGAGTAGTTTTTACAGTTATCTCAAAAATTACTGATTTGGTTATACTATTAGAAATACATAGACAGATAATTATGAAATAATTGTGAGGTTTAGTAAGTTAACTGTTTATATTTTCTGCTGTACTTTATTGGTAGAAGAAAAACAATCATTTCCTTAATAACAATTTAAGCAATTTATTTAACTAAAACAATAACATTATAGCACATGTATCCTTGTTTGTTAACTGATGTGGTTAAACATATATTTTTTAATAAACTTAGACTGAGTTTTAGCACACATGAAAATCTTAAAACAAATCCTTATTTCCCGATGAATAGCCTTTGGACTATCATGTAACTTAAATAGAAAACTATCTTTAGAAAGATTTTTCTGCCCAAAGCATTTTATTTTAAAAATCCAATTTAAATTTTAAAAAAATCTGATGTAAATAAAACAATCCATTTTTGTTTTAAAAAACCCATTGATTTTTATCCACGCTGGAGCGGGCAGACTGAACACAGTCCAGGCAAGTGTAACTGAGTGGACCATCCTTTGGGCAGGGCAGGGCAAGTACAGCCTGGGCAAGCAGATAAAATGGCAGGCTACACGAACTAAAGAGTCAGAGCAGAATCTAGGAATGTGACATACTGTGAGAGCATGGGTGGGGAACATGAGTCCCTCCAGCTGCTGTTGGACTCCAGTTCCCATAAACCCCAGCCAACATAGCCAGAGATTGGAGGTCCAGCAATACCAGGAGAGCCACAGATTTTCCCACTCTTGCGCTAGAGCATAAGGAGCAGAACTGCTGACCCATCCAGTCCAGCATCCTGGTTACCCAGCTATTTCTAGCGCATGAGCCTTTTACCATTGATGCTCACCTGCAACTGTGTTTCAGAGATGTGCTACCTCTGAACTTGCGAGGTTCCATAAACTCCTACAATGATTAGTATCCATTGGGGACTGCATCCTCCATTCATATTTTTCTAATCCCCTTTCAAAATGATCAAGCCTTGTGACCATCATTGCATCTCGTGGCAGCCAATTCCAGAAATCAATTGCATGTCATGTGGTGGCATGAATAAGTGCTTCCTCTTGTCAGTCCAGAATCTCCTGACAATAAGTTCACTGGATGACATCAAGATTTAGTCCCCTCCCCTCCACCCACCCACCCACAACAAGCCCCAAATATTGTAGTCTTTCCTTGTAGGGAAGGGGCTCCAGCTCCAGATAATTTTGGTTCCCTTTTCTGCATGCTTTCCAGCTCTACAATATCCTTTTTGAGATAGAGACCATCTGAACCAGTAAGTTCAGGTCAGACAGAAGACTATAGCCCATCCCATTCCCTAGCTGACCGTACCAGGAGGTTGAATTTACCAGTAGGTCTCTCATCTGGTATAACAGTCACAAGGCTTGGAAATGCATCACTCATATGTAGATCCATTTATGTTTTTTTTTATTTATAAGATATTTATTAAGATTTTTTTAAATATTACAATAAAAATGAAAAAGAAAAAGAAAATACAAAATAAAAATGATTAAAAACCACTCAATTTTTCCATTGCTTATTTTTCCTTAGCTTGTTTCCCGGACCTCCTCATACCTCCCTTTTTTGTATTCCAGTTCAGTTTGTTGGTTCAGCAAATCCTTACCCTCTTTATTTGTCCTAATCTTTGGTCTTAAAATAGTAACGTTAGATTTTTACCTCTTAACAACCCATTTTTCATATTCCCTTAAAGCATTACAGCTGGAAACCACTTAATTTCTATCCAACATCATTCTAACATTCATTAATTTTACAATATTTCTGTAGATAATCTTTGAACTTCTTCCAATCTTCTTCCACCGACTCTTCTCCCTGGTCTCGGATTCTGCCAGTCATTTCTGCCAGTTCCATATAGTCCATCAACTTCATCTGCCATTCTTCCAGAGTGGGTAGATCTTGTGTCTTCCAATACTTTGCAATGAGTATTCTTGCTGCTGTTGTGGCATACATGAAAAAAGTTCTATCCTTCTTTGGCACCAATTGACCGACTATGCCTAGGAGAAAGGCCTCTGGTTTTTTCAAGAAGGTATATTTAAATACCTTTTCAATTCATTATATATCATTTCCCAGAAAGCCTTAATCCTTGGGCACGTCCACCAAAGGTGAAAGAATGTACCTTCAGTTTCTTTACATTTCCAACATTTGTTATCGGGCAAATGATAAATTTTTGCAAGCTTGACTGGGGTCATGTACCACCTGTATATCATTTTCATAATATTCTCTCTTAAGGCATTACATGCCGTAAACTTCATACCTGTGGTCCATAACTGTTCCCAGTCAGCCATCATTATTTTATGTCCAACATCTTGTGCCCATTTAATCATAGCAGATTTCACCATTTCATCCTGAGTATTCCATTTCAACAGCAAGTTATACATCTTTGACAAAATCTTAGTTTTGGGTTCTAATAGTTCTGTTTCTAATTTTGATTTTTCCACCTGGAAACCAATTTTCTTATCCAAATTATATGCCTCCATTATCTGATAGTAATGAAGCCAATCTCACACTTTGTTTTTTAATTTCTCAAAACTCTGCAATTTCAGTCTATCTCCGTCTTGTTCCAGAATTTCCCAATATTTCGGCCATTTGGCCTCCATATTGAGCTTTTTCAGAGCTTTTGCTTCCATCGGTGACAGCCACCTTGGAGTTTTATTTTCCACATATGTAGATCCATTTATGGCAGGGATGGCCAATGTGCTGCTCTCCATCAGACACTAGGTTACAGTTCCTATTGCCCTTACCACTAGCCATCTTGGCTGGGGCTGATGGGACAATTTCTGGAGAGCACCATGTTGCCTATAACAACACACACACAAAAATAAAAATAAAGTAAAGTAAAATCTGGAGGCACCTGTTCTTAAGTAAATAAGTCTGCCATTTCAAATAGTAAGATTCAGGATGGCAATGGTGTTTAATATGCTTTGCATGAGATTTGGAAAAAATATGACAGGACAATTAATCAAATGCCTGCTCCCCTGATTAAAAGAAAACAAAACAAAACACCCATAAATAATTCTCAAACCAGAAATGCAACCCAGGATAAAGTGCAGATTGCAACAGCTGTCCGTGAGAGACGTCCTCAAATAATGGCTGGTGCAGGCTTACCTGTTTCCTAACTTCAACAGGCTTTGTTGAATCTTGCAACAAAGTATTGACTAATGGAGCACAGGGGACTGCCTTTACAAAGACTCTAAAACACAAGGAACTTTTAGGAATGAAGAGGAAGATGGGGCTATGATTGTTCCTGTCATTCTTCCCTCAGGCCAACAAAGTTGTCTGTCAGCTCCTAAGCACATATTTGCGCTGGCTTTTAGAGGCAGGCAGGGTGGAGCTGTCCAGCTCTGCCTTCCTTGGTTCCCATAGGATCTCATAGCAGTTGTTGCAGCTACAGGACAGATAAGGATCATGATGCCCAAAGCAAACCTGCACACTCAGGGCTTGTAGGCAGCCATTCGAGGAGGCTGATCTGCACTGTTGGAACTGCCTTGCCTTGGTGCACTGCCAAAGCCTACTGGCATTTCCTGGAAGTATATGGTAAGCTTTCTATTTGTACGTGCCATTAGGGAGGAGGGCGAGGTGCAGAGTTCCTTTGAATTTCATTCTTTGGCCTTCATAATAAGCATTTTACATGCTGTATTGGTAGAGTTTGTTATATTTGTCTTTTTTATATCCTGTTTGCCTTTCAACATTTCTTTTAATTTTAAGATGTATATCAGCAGACAGGCCTATGAATTTTCTTTCATAGAAGTTTCCAGTGACTTTGGCAGTAGGGACAATGATTACTGGAAGTTCTCAATGAAAACTAAACCCCTTTCACTCTACCCTCCATAGGAGCTGGTTATAATCCAAACCATTCTTGTCTGCTTATAAGATCTGCTGTAGTTATGGTGTTCTTTGGCCAACAAGGCCATCTCAGGCATGCCAGTGACTCATCCTTCAGCGAAAGTCATAAAGAGACGGCTTATGAGCTTGTCTGCTTGGAAGTTGATGCAGGTTTCTATTTAAATCAGCAGCTGAAGTGTGAATTTATCTGTGACATTTTTAAGATGGTTGATGAAGCCAAAAGTTGACTAGTGATTCTCATGCTGAACGCTAGCTAATTTTGGATTTACAGCATGCAGCATGCCAAGATTAGAAACAAATGGATATAAAATTTGGGCGGGCAGGGTAATCTGATACATGGGTCATAGTTTGCTTTAGGGCCACTTTGCACGATTCTTATGTGTAGGAAAATACATGTGGAAAAATAAATGTGTATGTATTTTTCACATGTCATAGGGGACATGGTTTTTCCTACAAGGCAGTGATGTCCATGTAGGAAAATCCCAATTCATTCAAGCAGCGGCAGTCAGCTAATAATAGTCAAATAGCAATGAGCTAGCTTTCAAATGTTAATAAGGGAAAGGCCTTCAGGGAGGTGCCGTTCTTATGACATTGCTTCATTGAGAAAGTTATTTTATAGTAGAAGGTATCTTGCCTGGTGTAAAAAGAGAATATAAAATGGGCAGACAACTCATTGATCCAAAGTGATCACAATCCCAATGTATTTTAGGTTATAGAGCCCTTCTTTGGAGGAATGCTTAGGAAAAACTATTAGAACAATCTTATATTTAAATGTTGCAAGTTTAAACTTCTTTCAAACATATCCCAAATGACCTTTACATAAAACAGCAGGATGCTAATCATTGCATCCAGTCGTATTGCATATGGCAAAGAACGCGAATAACAAAAAAACCTCTTCCCCATTTTAAACAGGGTGTGTTTGAATGGTGGTTGCATGATGGTTATTTGAGATATATTTGTAAAGACATCTGTGTAGGTGATTCAAGGTATTTGCCTCTAGCAGCCAGAGCTGTACCTGCAGTACATAAGAAGGACATGGGGAGTCAACCATGCACCACTTGTGCCTTCAGTAGGCTGTAGCATTGCAAGCACCCATGAATTTGACAGAATACCGCCTGCATGACATTTCCTGCCTATACCAATACTTTCTGAATCCTATCTGTACAATACCATCTCAAATGATATTTTCACCTTGAATGTTTGCTTCCTAATAAAGCATAAACGTATCATGGCTCCTGATTTGATCTTTCATTTATTTCAGATTCTCAAGAGGGAAATTACAAATCAGAAGTCAACAGTAAGCCAAGGAAGGAAAGAACTGCTTTCACCAAAGAGCAAATCAGAGAATTAGAAGCAGAGTTTGCTCACCACAACTACCTCACCAGGCTGCGGAGATATGAGATAGCGGTAAACCTGGATCTTACTGAAAGACAGGTATGAATGGAAAATAAATTAATGGAGTTCTAAGTGCAGGCAATTACCTCAGACCAGATCTATCTCATTTAGAAGTAGACATGATAATGTGTGGAACAGAATAAAATCCTAACATGACATTTATGTTATGCATATACATACTGGATAACATCAATGTTATCTTTGAAACAGATACTTATAAAATCAGTTAGCACATTGTAACAGCCATGGAAAATTAATGAGCTCAGTTCCGTGTCTGCCAGAATAGAACGAATGCATTTTCAGATTGTCCTTTTAACATTCATCCTGTCTTCTGTGGGTTGTTGGTTTTTTTAAAAAGTTTTATAAGCATTTACAACATGAATGCATTTATCTTCTTCTCCAGTCCTGTTTTTTAAATAAATCCCTATCCCTCCATACGCACACTCTATTAATTCTAGCAATTCAAACAAAACTGGTGATAATGTTGACCTGTGACACAGGGTAGGGTGCTGTCAGGCATGTTCTATACATGTCTGAAACCTGCTTCTGAAATGTGAATGACTGCTGGGCAGGATTATGCAACTGCTAGGAAAATCTTTACTCTCTCCTTTAAGTGGCCCTGATTCTATACTGGCTGCTGCCAGTCCAGTACGTCTACCACAGAAATGGCCACATTCATCAAAGTACACAGGAAGTTATTATTGAGAAAGTAAAATAAAAGGCAAATTTACTCAAGGCTTGTCCCAGAAAGGATGAAGGAAGTGAGAGAGATGGCGAGGGGGTGGGGAAGAGAGGAGATGCTAAGCAGCCAAGAGTGGCTACATGGTTATGCTTCAGTGTTCAGAACAAAAGGAATCTGAAGTGGTAGAAGCTGGAAATCTGGAGACATGGGGAAAGAGGGAAGAAATCGTGGGGGATGGGTGGTGCTTAAGTGAAATAGTACCCCCGTTTGTCCTTATGCTCTGTCCAAAGCCTGTCAAAGGGAGGGAGAAGGGGAGATGTAAGGGAATGCTTGACTTTAGGTTGAGTGTGGTTTTTGACATGAATGGGAAGGTTACAAAAAAGTGCAGTGCTGCGAGTAACTAATTCATAGATGGCAAGGTGGTGCCTTTATTGAGTCAAGACGTGGAGGTGATTTGGCTGCAGCATGTCCAAATGTTTTCAGGCCAGCATCTAGAGGACAGGTCCACTTTCTATTGTGTGCTCACAGGCTCTGCAAATGCACACTGTTCTGGTGTGTCAGTTCACATTCAGCTAACAGCTAACATTCTTGACAAATGAAGGTGAGAGGAAATATTAGAGTGGACACCGAAATGGGATGATCTGGTGCTGTAATAGGGAGAACAGTTTCAGAAAACAGGGAAGTTCTCCAAATATATATTAAAAACAGGTGCCAACTGCTACTGGTGGATAATGCTCACCTGCCCCATTCCTGTTTCTGCCCTTAATCCTGTGTTTAATGCTCACCTCTCTCTCTCTCTCTTAACCCCCCCACCTTTTCCTGATAATATATAAGGTAAAGGTAAATGACCCCTGGATGGTTAAGTCCAGTCAAAGGCGACTATGGGGTGTGGCACTCATCTTTCTTTTCAGGCCTAGGGAGCCAGTGTTTGTCCACAGACACTTTCTGGGTCATGTGGCCAGCATGACTAAATCGCTTCTGGCGCATGGAGGACCATGACGAGTGTCAGAGCGCACAGAAACGCAGTTTACCTTCCTGCCTCAGTGGTACCTGTTTATCTACTTGCACTGGTGTGCTTTTGAACTGCTAGGTTGGCAGAAGCTGGGTCAGAGCAATGGGAGCTCACCCCATGGCGCGGAACTGAACTGCCAACTTTCTGATCGGCAAGCCCAAGAGGCTCGGTGGTTTAGACCATAGTGCCACCTACGTCCCACACCAAACAACACTGATGCAGCTTGAGGAAATTAAGTTGCATGTGCACGAAGCCTTTGCTTTTGTAATGGCACTTAATACAGCACATTCTTGGTGTTTTTCATGTCTCTTCTTAAAAAGAGTAGAGCATGATGAGATGATTTCTGTTTCCCAGAGGCAATTCTTCAAAGGTTTCAATTCAATATGCTGCAGAGGAGTAATTGATCATATTTTTGCTGCATAGCTTGAGACATGACAGAACCAAAGGAGCTCTCAAAAGAGGGGTGGGGGGAAGCCTCCAGAACTGCCAAGACAAAGATGCTTCTTAAATTGTCTTTGCTATATAGCTGTGGCAGCCTCCAGGGAAATCTGGAATGCAAAGAGCTGGGCTTCTTCTGCTTCTGCTTCTTCATTTGCTTTTTAAAGGTGGATAGCAGTTGTACTAAATTAGCTTAAAGTGTTGCACATTTGTCTTTCTTTTCCTTTTTCTATAAACTCCCTTCAAAACCACTTACTTGCGTGGTAGTCCAGGGAAGGGCTGTTGCTCGGTAGGTAGAGCACATGCTCTGCCCATAGATCCCAGCAGGATCACTCCTTGCCATCTCCAGGGTCTGAAACCCCAGAGTGCTGCTACAAGTCAATGTAGATTAACACTCTTCAAACTTCCCTAGATGTTACCATTATCCACAACCTTTGGCTAAATTGGCCAGGGATGATGGGACTTGTAGTCTAACCATATATGGGGGCACACAGTTCACAGAATCAGAGAGTTGGGAGGGACTCCAAGGATCATCTCTTCCAACCTCTGCAATGCAGGAATCCTACCCACAGCCAATCCCTGTGTGGGTTTGAACCACCAACCTTCTGGTTAGCAGCCAGATGCACTGACCCATTGTGCCACAGGGAAGAAACTAATATAGGCCATACGGAGCTAGGTGGACCAGTTCTGTGTCAATATAATAAGGCAATTTCCAATGCTCCTACTTCAGTAGTGCTATACATCAGCTACTAAGAGCTAAAGAGAAGAGATGGGTCTTCACAGTATGAAAAGGGTGGCAAATGTCCCAAACTCACAAAGCCTTTTATGAAAGAAGTTTAATAAAAAAATTAGCAAGGTTCTAGGCCTTCATGGTAGCTAATATTATTTACTTATTTGTTTTAATATATACACACATACACACACCATTTTATTGTAATGAAACCTCTAAATATTGAGATGATCAATACAAAAGTTAAAACGAGGAAACAGGTTTAAAAGGTAATTGAAATTAACAGTAGACCAAAAAGAGATTAAAGCACATCAACATCCACATGTCTGGATAAACAAATGTTTTAAGCAGGTGCTGAAAAGGATACAGCGAAAGCACTTGCCTGGTGTCAATAGACATATAGAGTGTTCCATTGAGTAGGTGTCAGCGATCTTTATATAATACCAATAAGTAACATATTGAACTAGACTGTGCAACAAATTGGCAGCCAGTGCAGAACTCTTAGCAGGCTGACATGGTCTCACTCCTGATAGCAATCCGAGCTGCAGCATTCTGCATTAACTGCAATTCTGGTGCAACAGAAGCTCCACCTAAGAGTGTTTTGCAGAAATCCAATATATACTTATTTAACTTGCCTACAGAAAATCCTACCTTCTCAGATTATATTGTTGTGGTGGTTTATTTATGTATTAACTGTGATTATCACTTGGCTTTAAAGCAAAGGGATTTTTAGGGCCCAATCGGGAGTGATGAAGGACATCTGAAAACACAGATTCTTGCTTTTGGGGTTTATTTAAAGACCAAAACTTCCTAGAGGGCAATTCAGATAATAGCCATAGTGCTGGACGAGGGGAAAATGAAGACGGAGAAAGGTGACAAAAAGAGGCATACATTTCTGTATGACTACTTTTTAACATAGTCTGCCAAAGAATAAAAAATTATCAGATTCCCATGAGACATGTCATGTACTTATCTATCAGAAAACATCCTAGAATAAGCACTAAAACTTAATAAAACAAAACACATTCTTTTAAAACTCTTTATGTAAAAAAAAAAAATTAAAAATAGTAATATCACTTTCCAAGAATGAATAGGAACCCTTCCCATTATGCTATTTTCCCAATCGAAACTTGGGCTAATGCTAGCTGGGTGAGGGGGAAGCATTTTAACCAAAAGCTGCATGGGGGAAAAACACAATCCACCCCCATACAGAGGTTGGAATCCAAATCATTGCCCCCCGCCTTTGCCCCCTGAAGCTTTCTGATTGTTTTTTTAAGATGTAGATCCTTTTCATAGATCTTCTGTGTCACATCTGCTTTGCCCTTGACAGAATATTAAGAATCAATGTTTCATTGGAGTTAATGAGAAAAAAAGAAAATGGACTTTACACTTCCCTGTTTGATAAATAGATTCTTCAGCTTGTGGGTGGGCGATCCACTTTCTACCCACAACAATGTCCCAGTTTTCAAGTTACATAGTTCTCTCTCTTTTCTTTCGATGGACAGGTTTTACCTGTTCTGATAAATTGCGTGACCGTCCATTGGTAAATGAGCGGAGACTCCACCTGCTTCTTCAATATAGGAGGTTTTTTATAATGTGTTGCTGGGAGGGTCAGGAAACCACCACATTTGAAGGAAAGATCACAAGAATTATGGGGTATGGGTTTTTATGTTTTATTTGGTTTCTGAAACGGTGTCCGTTTCCTGCAGCTCTGGCCTTGGAATGTGAGATCTGGTCCCAGTGGAAATGTCTGCTAGCGCTGCCTGTGAGAGAGGCTGTCAAATACAGTTTAAGCTACATATTCACATACACAAACACATTATTTCTCTGGATTTAAAAGAAAGTCGTTATTCCAAGGAAAAGAAAATGTGTGTGTGTGTGTGTGTGTGTGTGTGTGTAAATATACATATATGTCAGACTTGATTTTAAAGCGGTGAGGCAAATTCTCCACCGACTGACATGCCGTGCAACTTTATTTATTTTTACAGGAGCCACCTGCATTGAAGTGAGCTTAGGTTTTGACTCCTGAGTAGAAAAAAGCTTTGATTCAAACTGTTACCTTTTTACTGTTGTCCTGTATACATTGAAACAATGCCTCTTGTTTTTAGCGCCCATATCATATTCTTCCCCCACCCTCTGAGTTCGGTAGCCCTCTCTCTCCTCCAAATAAAACAGATACAGCTAAGAGACTTTTCCTCCGGTGCCTGCTCCCAAAGAGATGTTCAATGTGCGGTCATATATTCCTCAACCTATTTAAGCAACTGCTAAATCATCAGTCTGGGAGACCTAAATACTAACCAAGTTGTTGACTAAGGGGAAGGAAGCTGTGCTTTCACACCACGCCAGTGAGCAGATGTGCCTAGCAGATCAGTCCATAACTGGTGATTTAGAAATAGTTCCTCGTGCTGCAATAGCTCCTCTCTGGATTAGCCACCCTTTCCACTGTGCATGGTAGAGTATATGTGTGCTTGAAAGAAACAGTAAGAATCTGCTCATTAAAATAATGAGCAGGTTGAAAGAGGAGACTTCATTTCATCAGATGTTTAGGTTTATCCAGGTCCAGCTCACGCTTTTCTGTCAAATGCACAAACCCCTTATGTAGAAATATGGTGATTTTATAGTCACTTTCTTGTCCTTCTATGGCAATGCATTTAGTCCGGTACACTATTATTAATTAAATTTATGTACTGACCTTCACCCAAGGATCACAAGGCGGTTTACAATATAAAAACACAAAAGTACATAACATAATACCAAACAAAAACAATACCCCCCACAGTTTGAAAGGCCATATATTGTTTAATTAGCCAAAGACCTGGGAGAAGAGGAATGTTTTTCCTGGTTCAATCAGGTGCCAGTTCAATCAGATCCATAGGTCATACATCTCTCTTCACAAAACAGTGTCTGTCAGTTGGAAGTCCAGTTGTCAAGATTGCTGTGTGCCTTGCTTGTTTCGTACCATTACAAAGTGGTGCTCTGAATCATTTTTTGCACACAGATTCTAAGTTGGTTCACCACCACTAAACCCAGGTTACAATAGTCTGTTGGAACATGCCAGATGGTGACCTATATGACCTGCCTGGGGTTTGATGCTTTGGAGGTATGAAGCAGCCAAGCCTGCTAAAACAGCATTAATATGTTAAGAAAATGTACTTAGTTCCATTAAAACAACGGGATTGATTTCCAAGAAAATGTGTTAGGCTTGGAACACTTTCAGTCAACATTTCATTTGTATGCCGCCTTTCCATAGTTCAAACCTTGCTCAAGGCAGCTTACAATATTTTTAAAAATTTACATAATGACAAACATAACTAGAGTGGTCATAAACAATAAATGAAGCATCAAAACGCTGAACAGTTTCCACGTAAATCACAATAGTATCTAAAATAAAGATAAAATAATTAATATCAATAAGAGCAACAACCCACCCCAAATCGCTAAACAATACCCCAGCACCATTACAGGAAGCTGAACTGGAATAAAGTATCTAGACAGATGAATGGTCTTAATTAAGAAGTTTCTCAAGCAAGTGCTAGCATTAGGGTGTGGTCCTACTGCAGGTTTGTTTTTCTGGCACAGCCATCATCCATGTTAATCCTGAAGTTCCATTTGGAATAACAACAGATCACATGAAGTTCGCAGATGTAAGATGTGCAGATTCAGGGCACAGCACTTTGATCTGGAAATGTTGGAGAAGTGTCAATCAGTTTAACTTCATGACTTAAACTAAGTCATACTTGTAATAGACCCATTGAGATCAATGGACTTAATTACGGTAAGTCCATTGGTTGCAGTGGGCCTGTTCTATGACTAATACTGGATACCACCCATAACCTTTTGCATGTTTAAATTGTAGGGTTTATTATTATTATTTAAAAATGTAAAATTGCCTTAAGCAAAAACGTTTTTAGAAATACCATTTTATACATTTTATTTAAATAAATATTTGGGAGTTAGGTTTGTATCAGAAAAGATCCCAATTTCAAATTGATAAGCAGCTATTTGCCCAAAACACTTTACAAAAATCGAATACAAAACTTTATATAAAAATAAAGTCTGTTTAATTTTTCAGAAACTGTTAGTATTCTTTCTCATATTCCAACTTTTACTTCTACTATTAGTATTACTACTACTACTTCTCCTCAATATATATTTTGACTTTCAAGCAAGCTGCTTAACTGTTTCAGATATGCAGGAACTTTTAGCAATAGGATAAAGTGTGGGCTTCTAAGAATTTAAGAGAATTGATTTTCAGAATTCACACATCCTTCCTATTGCTAAAATGTAACAGGATCATGTATCAGTTCCATTATTGACTTGTCACGAAATCCAAAGGAAGTTCAGATTTCATCTCTCTGAATTTGATCTGTGGAGGAAATAGCACATGAAACATCCTTTACAGGTTGTTATATTTAGCACATGTGATATGTGCAGCTCAATACTATTTCTGTTTCAGAGTATAATAGTGTAAGTTGTTCTTTATTATAAAGTAAAAGACAAGAACTTGACAGTCTAATGGTGCTAAATGAAATACATAGGAGACTCGGATTTTAAACGAGTGATTTACGGTAAACCATCTGTAACAAAGACTGCATTTTAAAAGCTGTTAAACTAGAATTTTAAAAGTGATACATTAAAACCCAAAGGAAAAGATGGATTTTCCATCATTTATAAAGTTTGATTCTCTTCATCTGATCATTATGCATTTTTTAAAAAATACAGAATGCATTTGTTAAATATGGCAACCGAGTACAGGTAAATAAGATGAAAAATGGAGGTCTGGTTTTATTATTTTAAATTGTTGTGCCTTCTTCACAGCATGGCATACCAAAATAATTGTAAAATGGAACTTTTAAAGACTTAAGTGATCCTGTGGAAATTACTCGACCTGGTTATCTCCAGCAGGGCAGAAAAAACTCATGGAGAATTCATTTTTCCAGTGGCTCTTGCAGCTCATTCAAGAGATCAGCAGGTGACTACTACACCTGCTAATGCTGGACTGGGTGAAGGCTAATCAGCTGATGCTAAATCATGGCAAGATGGAAGCATTGTGGGCAAGTTGTATCTGGTTGTTAGAATTATGCAAATTGCCTGTTCCGGTTGGAGTTGTAGGTGTCTGGGGGCACTTCTGAATCCATCACTGCCACTGGAGGGCTCTAGGAGTGTCCTTTACCAGCTCCAGATAGCATTGCTGCAGTGATTCATGTGTTAGCTACCTCAAGACTGCAATGTGCTCTACATGGGGCTATCCTTAAGGTTGGTGTGGATGTTGCAACTTGTGGAAAATGCAGTGGTTCATCTGCTAACTTGAGTTGTTTACAGCAAATGTATGAAACCACTGCTCAGAGTGCACCACTGGTTACCAATTTGCTACCAAGACCAAGTTACCAAACATATAAACAACCTGGGATCTGGTTGCCCAGTTCTTAAGATCTCAGAATGAGATGTGTTGGAACCTGTGAGTGTCAATCTAGTGACAACAAAGAAAGCCTTTTCTATTGCAGACTAGCTTGCAGAATTATCTCCCTAACCAGAAATAAGGCAAGCAGCAATTCTGCTGAGTTTTTGGTGCCTCCAAATATATATATATTTTCACTCATCCCTCTGCTGGGTATAGCTATCAATTCACAGTCCAGTTGCTATTGCTATTACTTTATTTGTTTGCTTTTATTGCACTGGCATATGTTGTCATCTGTTCTAGTTTGTTTGTTTGTTTTTTAAAAAGAAGAACAGTATAAAATGTTAAGTAAAACTACCAGAGCCAACTTTTCATGAACCTGGGTGGAGGGGACATCCTTACAGTTTTCTGGCAAACATACTGCTGAGCAGCTTCCTAAATATAAGAGAACCTCCCCTTTTGTACTCCTTCATATCTCTTTGTGGGGTACAGTTTGGCTTTGGATAATTTAAATGATGACTTTGCTTTAGACCTCTTTTCTATTGACCCCCAACACAACCGGTATTAAACCCACTAGAGCTGTTTATTGCCTATTCTTCTTTCCTTTCCTTCCACCTGTGGTATGGTGCAGGGTGTCAGTAAAGAAACAGAGTGTTTTACTGTTGCTTGGATGTATTCACCAAAGGGATATTATTATTTTTTTGTCATCCAGTAGTTATTGCCTTCAACCTATTGATGCTAGTGAAAGTCACCTTAAAAGGGAAAAAAAAAGACTAATTGACATATCTTATTCACAGCTTAAAGCTAATGGAAATAAAAGTGAAGAGAAGGGCTTGGGGAGAAAGGGCTTGTCTCATCTTACACAGACCACTTCTTAATTTTTCCAGAAGGCATCTAAATTTAGAGGAAGGCTCAGATGGTTTAACTTATGCTTTCTTCCAAGCCTTACATGTATGTGCTAGCCAATGTAGATTCCCTCAGATTGACTTAGACTCCCTCAGGCTTACTCACTTCCTCAGACTCACAGGCACTTGCCAATTTACACCTCTTTTTACATATGACCTTTGCAATTTAGGCCTATTATGTTTCAAGCAGTTTTATCTATTTTTCCATTCTCGTTGCCATTCCTCTGCAATCTAAAATAAAAATACAATTACTCAAACATACTTGTACGCTTATAGGCAGAAACAAAGATTGCTAATAAGTATGACCTGCAACGTCCCCGCCCCCAGTAGAATAATGCCATACAGTTTCTTTCCTATGAATTTGTCTAGACTTCTATCCTATTTCCATATTCTCAGTGTACCTTTGTTACATTTTATCCCCCACCCTGAAAGAGTACATTTAACTTTCCTATCTTTAGCCACCCTTTGGTTGCCAGACACTACAAATCAGACCAGATATAGCAGTGCCACAAATTGCAGGCAAGAGTGAAAGGCATTTAACATATTAAGATAATCTTTTCTTATTTTTCCCCTAAGTTCATTGCATTATTCTTAGTTTCCTTGTGCTAGTTCTATTTTCACATGCTAGACCAGGAGTCTGCAACCTTTAAGACAAAAAGAGCCACTTGGACCCGTTTCCGAAGAAAAAACAACTGGGAGCCAAAAAACTCGTCATTATAAAAATAGCTTTTTTGTCACTTTTTAATTATTTCTTTGTTTGACCCCTCAGAATTACTCCTCCTCATAGAAATAAATGTTAAATTAACAAGTTACCTTTTTGTGTGTGTGTTCTTCACTCCCCTTCAAAACAGTGACCAGCGTACATGCCCCCTTTCAATGCAGTGACCAGCGTACATGCCCCTTACAATGTAGTGGGCGGGCGGGTGGGAAGGTGACGTTGGGACGGTGTGTGACTAATGCACGCACCGCCCCTATGCGACGTCACAGCCAGTACAGCGCCCGCCACAGTGGGGAGTGTCGGGGCGCACAATGCGCCTCCTCCCCTCGCTAGTATCCACCTCGGAGCCGCGGCAAAGGTGTAAAAGAGCCACATGCTGCTCCGGAGCCACGGGTTGCAGACCCCTGTGCTAGACTATATTATTTTTCATCCTTGAACTTGAATTTTATGTGTGACCCCCCACCCCACTGAACTGAGCACATTTGCCTTCATCGGCCTTCATAAACTATTCCTTTCCAACTACTGCTGAACATATTTAAGGCTGCAATTCACAAACCAGCTAACCCGATGGGCTTGAGTTAAATAGGCATTAGCTCAAGTGCCCTGTCTATGTACACTTGCTCTGGTTTCACTACACAAAATATGGTTGATTGCCTACTAAATTTTACTAAAATGGTATTTGAATTTGTGCTGCTTTCCCCATAGATTAGATATTTTCCCCAAACCCCATAGAATAAAATATGCAAGATCTAATTTTAGACACAGATGAATGCGGGTTTTTTGAGATGCAATGCCTCCCTGGTCCAGCTTCTCCTTCGCTTTCAGTTATAGTTCAGTGTTGCACTGACCAACTAATATTTAAAAGGGATGGGGAATCTGTAGCCCTCTGGGTGTTATTGGACTACAGTTCCCATCTGCCTCAGCCATTATGACTAATGGTCAGGGATGATGGGAGTTAAGAGCCCACCACAGGTTCCCCATCCCAGCTGTATATTATTCTATCATCCCCATCCATAGAAAAATTTAATCTCTCTCTCTCTCTTTTTATACATTCTGTACATGCATGTTTAGGCATAAATAATATTTATGAGAAAAAGCTGTTGATATTTTACAGAAAATAAGAACTCATCTGATTTATAGCAGAATGATAGTCCCAAGCATAGTATAGCTTAATACAGTGTTTGGCATTAGCAATACATTGCTATTTTACTAGAGGAAATTCATTGCGAAAAGTGTCATATATAATTTTCCACAAAGGACTGCATGAAGAGTACAAACATTATGAGCCCTTTGACATTGTTTTTGTGAAAGCTTTTGACAGATGGCGTAACAATATTTCCTAACATCAGAGCAACTAGAAATAAATACTTTCCTCCTTATATTAGGTTTATTTTACTAGCCTGCTTCTTTGGCTCTGATGTGCTGTCTAGAAGAAAGGATGTGCTGCTCAAGGTTGAGAAGCCTCTAACTAATTCAAAACCGCCTTGTCCTAATTCCAGACACTTACATTTAGTTTAAATAGCAACATGAAAACAACACAAGCCATCAGTTTGAATTTAGCATAAAATTACATAGCAAAAAAAAAAAAAAAGGTTTATAAACAATATCTGCAGTAGAATTTGACTTGATTTCCTTTTTTTTATTTGTGAAATAGTACAACTATAACTATATGAAAAATGAAAAATATGCCATGGCTCCGTTTACTGGTGTCGTATAACGTTTCATGCTGTGGCTAATCCTTGGTGTTTCTTTTTAAAACCCTGAAACAAAAAATCTGAACCATAGCCAAGGAGACAGGAACCTCCCCAAAACTTTCCACACTAGACTTTTCCATGCAGCAGTCCTTGTAGAAATTAAACACTTTTTGATATTCCAGGACTGCAGTAAGCAAAATGTGTATTAAATAAGATGAAGAATGGTCTATTTCAGCTGTGCAAATGAATGTCTGTGCACCAGTTATATCAATGGTAAGCCAACATATACTGAATGCAGCTGTGGCACAAAGGAACTTCAGCTGCCCTCTTAGAAATTATAAGCATGCCATTATCAGTCCTGTGACTATTTTATTGATGTCCTACATTGCCGTTTTCTTTTGTTTTTGATTCAAAGGTAAAAGTTTGGTTCCAGAACAGGCGGATGAAATGGAAGCGGGTAAAAGGAGGGCAGCAGGGAGCCGCTGCCCGAGAGAAGGAACTGGTGAACGTCAAAAAGGGCACGCTCCTTCCCTCGGAGCTTTCTGGCATTGGCGCAGCCAGCCTCCAGCACACAGGGGACTCACTAGCAAACGACGACAGCCACGACAGCGACCACAGCTCTGAGCATGCACACTTATGATAAGACACGAAGGAGTTGCAGCTCTGTTCTCAGGAAAGACACGCTAACGCAGGAAGCCTTACACGGACGTAATTGACGGATGCAAGCGACTCTCTCGCAATTAACAGAACCTTGAACTTATGGTGTCTGCTACTCTTGAATTATTATTATTTTTTACATGAATTCAGTAAGTGCCACACCTTAAAGTTGCCTTGCGAACAGAAGCAGAAAGACAAGCTTGCTTTTGAACATTCCAAATTGGACTGTCATTCTAATGACAATGGGCAGGTATTTTTTGCTTTAGCTTGCACTGAAAAAAAATGCCATTGCTCTCAAAAAAATAAATATTCTAATAAACAAATAACACAGTGCCAACAGAAACATGGTCTAGTGGGTAAGAAATGTATTTTAACTCTGTATATATCTACTTTACGGCATTTTTACTTTTCACTCATTTTTAGCAACGCATTCATATTAGCTGACGGCAATAGTCACTCATGAGAATTAAATGGCTTCTTTTTGTCTCTATTTTGTTTTGTGTCCCAGAGATAGCTACATGCAGACCATTGTGTTCAGAAAAGAGTCTGCTATGGAATGTCCTTATACCACAGACAAAACAAATCTTATGTTGCATTTACTATCAACTGCTGCTAATAGGAAATTATTAAACCTTGCTCTTCAAATTTTCTTATCTTATACCAGCAAAAGTGTTTTTAAAAAAAAATAGGATCATGCCTGTCCGGAAAAAGAACCATTGATTCATATTTTTTATAGAATTCATTACCCCAAATGTTTTACATGCATTGATATCTTGGCTCAATTCAGCTGCTGGCCACAGTTCATCTACTCCTGAGCAGCACCTGATACAGTCGGTAGAACTGTGGATAGTAGCTTGTGCTACAAATTGGAATGTTTTTTTTTATTTACAGTAATGTGATAATATTCAGGTATTATAAAGACAGAGTTAACTGCCTCCATTAATGGTCACAATTTATTAGATAGCTCTGTGTAGAAAATGCAAAGGTCAAGGCATTCCCTCCCCCTTCCAGGCTTTTGTGTACATACAGTCGAATAATACAATCAAATTTTACACAAAACAGTGATTGTACTTGTAAAGGAAATGTTTAATAAATGATCCTTTTGGAAATAATTCTTGCTCTCCTTTGGAGTTTTCATAGGTAACTCAAAATGTCAGAACAGTAAAATGCTCTTAAAAATGTACCCTATGTTTGCTTTAGATAGTGCAAACCAGGTTTTCAGTATTGGATGAGGCTTCTACCTTGATACATTGGGGAAATCCTTTCCTGTAGCAGGAAAAAGCAACCCCTAGCTACAGAAGTCTCCAGCCAAGAACAACAAGAAACATGCTAAACCGTTTTCCCAGATCTAAGGCAAATATTAAATGGATATTTTTTGTGGCATCTTGTGGAAAAGAAGAAGAAATTATGGCTTGTGTTCAAAAATGTGATGTAGGCCAAGCAAACATATATTGCAATTTAAAATATTTAAGATACGTAAGTACCTAAGGCATATAAGAAAAGGTGATGATATTAACAGGCAAATACATTATGCAAAATAACATGCTAAAAATAAAAGCAATTTATCACAATACTCCTCACTCTTTTGCCAATTGTCATGCTTTTGCTACCACTGAACAGTCATTGTCCCCACACCCAAATAAAAACTCAATATATAGGGTGAAGATTATTAATAAAACTTGACTGCTACTGAAATAAACTCCTTACAGTGACAATAGTCTAGCAACCCCACCATGCTTCCAAGCTTGAAATTGGCCACTGTCTGGTCTTTGCTCATCGAAGCTAAGTGCTTCAAGGAGGCAACAGGCATCATCATCATCATCAACCACAAACCGTCCTGCCTTTGTAATCCTCCATTCATCACAATGGTACCTTGGGTGATCACCAATATCTTTCTTTTATTGTCTGCCCTATCTATCTAACCAATGGTGATATTGTCTGAGGCTCTCCACTGCACCTGTATTCTGTCAAGTCAGAAACTTTTCTATGCTGCATGAGTTGCAGCATAACCTCTTTGACAATCAAAAGCACCAATCCAGAAAGAATTTCTAATACCCCAAAGACATTTTCCTGTACTCAGGATGAAAACCTTATTGCAGAAACTATATTGGACTTGCGGTAAAGGAACGAGCCTGTTTTATATGGGCTCAAAAGTCATTTTCTGGATGAAATCCTTCATTCTTTTTCTCTAGGAAATGTATATGTATATGTATATGTATATGTATAATGTATATATGTATGCATGTATATATATATATGTATGCATGTATATATGTATGTATGTAGCAGCAAGGGGAAAGAGCTGATCTATATCAGGGCCATGGCAAGGTGAGGAGGTGGACTTTAAAAATTTGCCCTTGACATGATACCTGTTCTAGGGAGGTCCCCTGGGCACCAATGGAAGATGCCACCCTGATGCAAATAGCAGTTGAAGCATGCAGGACAGGGGAGGGTCCAGACTGGAACCACAGCAGCGGCAACCCATCCCACCACATCAGGGTCCACCCCCCCTGAATTCTCATGAACTGTCACTTTCTAAAATCAAACACCCCGCAATTGCACAGTGCTGTGTGAATAACACCACATCTGTTTTTGTCAAAAAACCTATAGAGTCTCTAATTTTGGTTCGGAGCAGATCAGGTCCTTACCACAGAACCTGATGTTCTCCACATTGGTAATTTAAGGGAGAGATAGATTTCATGTTGGGTGTGCAAGTGGGAGCCGGCAGCAACATATATCCCATTATAAAGCAGTCTGCACCCAGTCATACTGGGATCCGGTGAAGTGGGCATGCCTGAAACTCCAGATATATCAAAGCAGGATTTCACCACATCACTAAGTTGAAATGAAACCAGCATGGTTTTTCAAATCTTGAACTCATGCAGTGTTTCTGGGGAAGGCGGACAACACAAGCTAAAAACCAAGCATTAGTCCCAGCATTCATGTTGATTTTCCTGGCTTTTGTCCTGCAATCTCTCTTGGGTCAATACATATTTTGGTCTAACGCAAACAATGCACATATACAATTTAGGATCACCATGCAATATTGGCAGTAAAGCTTAACTACGTCTCTGCTGTAACTGAATGTATTACTTAAGGAAATATACTGGATGGATTCTGTACATAATTGGTAAATGTACTAAGTTTATTTTATATACACACCCCAATGAACATTTCAAGGCATTGCTGAGCATAGAGGTACAATGAAGTCCCTGATGCAGCTACTAATTTCAGAAGCCCTAACAGGGCTATTTCCAACGGAGAGAGAGAAAGGAGGCGCGGGAAGTGTGAGCCAAAACACAGTCACTACACAAAGGCACAAGCCTTCCATCTGGACGACCTTTCCCCTTTGTTGTTCCTTCAATCCTCTTGCACCTCCCAAGGGAACCACTAAGTTTATAGGCAGGCAAATTCCACGTGCTCCATGGAAATCTCTGGGAGAACCACAAAAAGAAATCTATCCCCTTGAGTGAGAAGTCTCCTTATTTACAGGAAGTTTTCCATCTGGAGACAGAATTACTGTCAAATAAGTATTTACAAAACTGCTTTGCTCTCAATCCCTCCCTCTCTCCCCCCCGCCAACCCCTTCTAATACAGCTATCAAAGCCTGGAACATTTACAAGTGTTTCTAATCTGCTTTGCTGGCTGATTTACGGAGATGTGAGATAGACATACTTTATGTAAATAAAGCTAATAAACATTAAAGCTTGTTTAAAATGACTGAATACGGAGTTGTGTCTAAGGTTAAGAACGAGGCTTGGCCTGCAGCATGTGGCCTGGAGGAAGACTGCAGTAGATGGTGGAGAATGGTGAAAATTGGATGAGCCAGGTTGTGTGAGAGTTGCACCCCAGGCCTTTCCTTAATGGTCCCCTGAGTGCAACGGCGGACAGCAGGTTTCACTCTTTAGTAGATCCTATCCACTGTATTGCCCTTTCTAATATTTTCCAGAACTGTAATTAGATTTTACTGGTCATGGAAATGAAAGACCCTGTGGAACGCCCTCCCATCAGATGTCAAAGAGATAAACAACTACCTGACATTCAGAAGACATCCTAAGGCAACCCTGTTCAGGGAAGTTTTAAATATGTAACGCTGTACTGTTTTTAACACTTGATTGGGAGCCGCCCAGAGTGGCTGGGCAAGCTCAGCCAGATGGGCGGGGTAAAAATAATAAATTATTATTATTATTATTATTATTATTATTATTATTATTATTATTGGAATAGATGTTACTCCAAATGATATGTTGAACTGCTAATATAGGACTTTTTTTTTTTTTAGGAATTCTAGTGTCTGTTCTTTGCTTGTCACTTTCATTTACATTAGAGTTAAGCCACTCTCAACCAGGTGTCTGTTCATGCGTAAATGGAGCAACACTACAGAGCAGGCTGCACAAACCAGCATAGGGATCTGTGATCTCTCTGATCAAAACAACATGCTTTCCCTTCTCCAGCTATAGGAATTACTGAATTAGTTGCAGTTCAAGCTAGCCCTACACCAGGCAGAGGATGGTGGGGGACAGTCTCCCTGACACTCCTCTTGAGCCAGTTCAGTTGGCTTTTCTATGTGGAATGGAAGAGGGGGTGCCATTGTCCAAGCAACACATCTTAGGCAAGCTCTGTTCTCATGTCCATTCTAATTACCTACTTACTTACTTACTTACTTACTTACTTACTTACTGATTAAGTTTGTCCCAGTCACTGCTGCAGAGTGTTCAGGCAGAGGTGAAGCTAACTGTGTGAAACATCACTCTAGTTGTTCAGTAAGTTTGTTACCCAGTAAATTTTCCATTGTGTCAAACAGTTTTGTAACCATTTGATATGAAGACTCTGTAACAATGACGTAGGCACTTCATGTGTTGTGCTTTCTGCATGTTCCCCACTAATGCAGATTTATGGAACCGGTGGTTGAGGGGGTGCACAGAAAATGCACAGAAATCCAATATGCAAACAATATACCAAAGCCACACCATCAAGCAACCTTTAGTTTTCGGACTGGTGGACACCAGAATCTACTTCCCTTGTGCTCTCCTAGTCTCAGCACAACTGAAATTTAGAAGAGAATGTTATTTTGGGGGGAAGGAAAGCAAACTCCCTCCAACTGCTCCTTTTATGGCCCATGGATGAGGTGAGTTTGGCCTCCTCCTTGCAATGATATTCTTCCTGGGAAGCAGGAATGGTTCATGGTTCCCTGACCAATAGTTCTTCCCCTTAGTCCCAGAGCAACTACGGTTTGAGACGGGTGTTCTTTTAGCAATACAACCAGTCACTATATTTCCCTGTTTAGAGAAGGACCATAACTCAGTGCTAGAGGATCTGCTTTGAATGCAGAAGATTCCAGATTCAATTCACAGCATCTCCATATAGGAGGTGCCTGTTCTGAAACTCTGGAGACCCACTGCTAGCTGGTGTAGATAATACAGTGGTACCTTGGGTTACATACACTTCAGGTTACAGACTCCGCTAACCCAGAAATAGTACCTCGGGATAAGAACTTTGCTTCAGGGTGAGAACAGAAATCGTGCTCCAGTGGCGTGACAGCAGTGGGAGACCCCATTAGCTAAAGTGGTGCTTCAGGTTAAGAACAGTTTCAGGTTAAGAACGGACCTCCAGAACGAATTAAGTTCTTAACCTGAGGTACAACTGTACTGCAATTGATAGACAAATGATCTGACTTCCTCTGCTCAGTATAGAGGGAGGGGAATCCCTAAATGTCCTACCTGAAATATTGTAATGGACTCCTTTGGAGGGCTGGTGTATAATATATATGAAGTTATTTGAACAGAATTTGGAAGTTTTATCATTATTAAGTGCACTAGTAAGTTTTACCTGCCGGTACTCAACATTTCATTTTTGACCAGTACTAACATGGACTAGCTGAGAAATAATTTGTTATAAACATTGTTTCCTTCAATATCTACAAACATGTAACCTTCATTGGGCATTTTACCACAACTGTATTACTATAGAAAACTGGTTGAACTATTTAGTACAGTATAGCCTATTTGTGTTTACTTATAGTTTTTTCTTTTTAAAAAAATAATCTTCTGAGCTTTTATGACTTTATTTGCATGTACAGCTGACAAAACAGTTGAAATATGTGGTTGCCAAGATACATTTTATCTTTCAAATTACCTTCATAAAAACTTTCACAGGAGTATATACATTCCAGTGAGGAAAGGAGCCAAACCTAAATATGACCCAACAGGAACAGAATACGATATTTCTGTGATTCTTATGAATGCTTACACATAAGCAATTTAGAGAGGAAATGTTTGCATGACCTTTTAATTCATAAAGCATTCCAGCTGGAAGTCAAAACATTACACTACTCCTATTGCTCTATGCTAAAATAGTTGCCTAAGCATTTGGTTGTACCATGCACACAAGACTCCCAGAAGCAATTTCTGCAATAATTTTGCCATTCAGAAAATTGACTTCCATGTGCTTGGAATCTAGTACAAATGGGACATACAAATTTATGCTGATTTGCTCTGATCTGGCAATTTCTTTAGAGAACAGCAGCAACAATACAGACATACAGGCTGTGCACACATGGCATTTTAATGTGCTTTCAA